GGGTCTTGATGATCATAGGATCTTGGGGTTCTCAATTTGAAACATACCCACTGGATTGATATATTGTAGAACAGATGAAGAACACCATTTGCGTTCCTCTGAAGGTTTGAAAACTGGGATTTCCGGCATTTTCTTGGATTAGCTAGAGGGCTATAACAAATAACCGTAAATTCCCCAATTGCTCGATTCACCATTGTGAAAGTGAACAGTCTTCATCTCAGCAATCCCAGGAACATGGAGGTTTCGACCTTGCCAGAACAAATAGCTAGTTAGTAACTTTTCTCCTCGTTGTTCCATGTTTAAAGTAACCCCCAAACAGATCCAACAGTTGGAAACCCAGGGCCTAGAAATCATCGGAAAAACTGCTTCATCGAACCTGGAAATATCTGGAATATGTCGATCCTTGGTGAGATCTCCCCCTATTTCCTCCATCCAAAACCTCGCGATTCTTCTCCCTCGCCTGTGCAGTATAGGGTGAAATCACCCCGATGTCTTCTTCACCCGCCTGACGCAACGGTTCAGATGAGGTATTTGGGTTTTAAGAATCTGGAAATTGGTGGATTACAACACCAAATATGGGAATAGAGTCCAGAAAAATGATGGGGATACGGATGGGATACGGATGGATATGATGAATTAACGGGACTTTCCTGGGATATATATCTCACAAACAGTATGGTTTGGGCATGTCTGAACATGTGTTTTTTAATTAAACAAAAGTTTTCACGTGGAACCCGGCTGGTATGGTGGAGATCCAATCACTTTTTTTTTTAAATCCACCAAGAACGGAGAGGTATCCCCCGGACATGATGATGTTGATCATGATCAACAATGATCATGTTTTAATGTGTATTATATATGTTATGGAATATAATAACACGTTATAAAATATTATAACATATTATAACCCATGTATATCCATTGATGTCCAAACAGCTTCTGTTCCGGTTCATGGTTCAAACGAAGTATGAGTCGACTCCAGTCGACTCCAAAAGTTGAGAAGGTTTTTCTCTGGTTCATGTACCAGTCCTTTGCGTATATCATCGTATATCATCGTCTATCCCCGTTTCTGCGAAATCCATGTTTCAAGAGGCAACAAACGCTGTGCGATGCCTGACGATCAGCGCACCCGGTTTGTTTCTTCCTGCTGAAACGCGAAAGTTCGGCGAGAAACGCACGATGGAAACCACCATCCATCGTTGTGAGAACGTAAGATTTGGTGGCTTTAAACATTATCAGACATATTCTGGTCACAAACGCCACGCTTGAGCTTTGACCCACCTCGCCGCAGGACTATCCGATAGAGTGGTTCCCCTGAGCATCTACTGTGGTTTGGCTTCACGGTCGGCAACCAAATCTTTGGCAGTTTTTTGGCTAGTAAGCTGTGCCCGTCTTAGCATCCATGTCATGATTTAAAATTACATAAAGTTACAAAATGGGTTTAATTCCAGGACATGGTTAGTCTTACAGCCGCAAGTTGATGGTTGGACCCTGGGCAAATCACCTTTTTCTGAATGCGAAATGACTCTTGTATTCAAAACTGGCAATGCCAAATGGAATATTTCCTGTAGTCACTGTAGTTCCAATTTCTCAACAAAGATTTGGTCACATTTTTTTGTATAGTTCCTTGTTTAAAACCATCCCAGCAAACAAGCCTACTCAATCTTAGTCCTCTGTTGATCGCCTGCTCACAGGTTGGCGGGCCAAATAGCTCAAGGTTTCTTTTCCACACAGCAGGGAACTGTTCCACTCTGCCGGTCATCATCTGGGTATGAACAATGTGTATCACAATTCATTCTACTGCTATGTATCACAATTCATTCTATAATCCATTTAGCCATTTGAAAAAAAAAAACAACATCGCATTACACCACCATTGTTCACCATTATCTGCCAGAAATTACACCATGAATCGCTCTGTGTGGCTCTTTGGCCACCACCGAGCACGAGATCGGAGACGGTTTGGGAAAACAAGATTGTGGTTATGTGTGTATAATTGTGGTGTATATAATAATAATATATATATATATATATACGCATATGTAGTATTCCCCCCAAAAAAAGAGTTTTTTAATGCATCACTATTTGAGTAGGATGTTACTGGTTTATCTTTGTTGGGGTCACTGTCTATACTATCTATACTGTATACTATACATTGTATAGATGAAGCATAGCATAATATTATATATATACACATACACAAGCATCATTCCAGTGACCTCGCAGTGAGTGAGGTCGCCAAAATTCAATAGGGAAATCAACTATAAATGGACCATTTTCAATAGCTATGTTAAATTACCAGAGGGTATATATACATATGCCCATGAAATGGTTGCTGTGATACTCCCGTTGGTGTTGGCTCATGTTGGCAAAGTCGTTGCCATGTTGTCTAAACACCGACCCAAGATCAAGATTTTGGCTAGTTGATGTTGGTTGTATCCCATAGTATCCATAGAATAAGTGTGATTTACCCTCTGGTAAACTAACATAGCTATTGAAAATGGACATTTATAGTGGATTTACCTATCAAAAATTGTGATTTTCCATAGTTATGTTAGTTTACCAAAGGGTATTTGTACCATGATGTAATTCATACATTTGAATACATTTGAACATGTTCCTTTAAGCCTCACATTTATCAATTCTATATATATATTATATCTTGTACATCTGATTGTGTAGATTTTCTTAATGAAATCCCCGGTTTCTATCCATTCTGAAGATTTAAATCCTCTCTCCCTTTCTCTCAGCCTGAATGACAATGTTGCATCACAATGTAAATTTTATCAGGTTTTATGTATTTAGATAATATGTATATATATATCATAGTACCATTACACGTATTATTATACCTATTCCTCCACTTGTTTCCTATTTTTGAATGGATCAAATCACCATGACATCCAAACAGTTCCAACCCTGTCCGAGCTGGACAGTTTCAAGCGCTCACACCATTTTTTCTTGGTTGGAAGTACTTTTGGTTAAAATGCTTTAAAATAACGAAGCATAGTTTCAATTTTGGTTGGTTCAAATGCTTTCAAATAATAAAGCGCCATTTTGGTTGGTTGACACAGCTCCTAAACACCTCTGGATACACTTGTTGTTGGCTAACCCCCCGTTCAAATATGTTTTTCCGAAGATGCCCCATCGCCATGCTGCGATGACACCGAAGGGTAAGTAACCAATCAACATTAAACAAAAACCCATCAGAATCCCATTCAATCGCCATGTTTGACGCTAAAACCACCACTTTCCACCATGAAATCCGATAAAATCCCATTAAGAACATTCATAAAGTCCCGTGAACTTTCCATTTGTCGATGGTTCAACCGGAAATCCCATCAACAAAACAGGGAAAAATCCCATAAGTTCCATGAAAATTGGAGTCCCCATGTGTTTAAACCCTAGTTAAACCTCGGTTTCCAGCGAGTTGTTCGTTGGGTCAGCGATTCACGGCGAAAATGTCCACCTTCTCCACCGAGGTAATGGAATCCACGAGGCGCCACTGCCGGGGCCAGGTAGTTTGCCCTGACAAACCCATCCTCAACGCCCAGTTTCGGTGCCGTTTTTAAGGAACTCCAAAAGGGAAAGAACATGGGAAAATGTCATGAACATCTGAAGAAAATGAGACTTCAAGGCGTACACATTTGTCCATGTATTTATATAATTATATATAAATATACACATATATATATATATATATATAAATGTATATATATATATATGTGAGAGAGAGAAAAATCAATGGATTGTAGAATGTTCTCAAGGATTTTGATGTTTTCAAATTTTAGACACCCACGTTTCACATGCCCGCACTTTCCATAAACCAATTTCAAGGATTTACAGTGGCGTCCCTGCGCATGAACATTGCAAGCCATGGCTAAATACCTAGTTTTTCATCACCAATTCGTGCAGGATCGTCCTGCTGTTGCATCCGTCCTGCCAGGAATATAATACACATATACATAATATATACTGGTTGGTGGTTTTAACCATCTTGAAAAATATGAGTTCGTCAATGCGAAGGATGACATCCCATATATTATGGAAAATAAAAATAGATCCAAACCACCAACCAGTATATATATATATATTATAATATGTGTCAAAACCCCAGCCAGAAATTTTGACCCTGCCATTGCCATAGGCATCTGTATACCGTGCCCTGATCAATTCTGCAAATACTTGCATATCGGTACTGCATTCCAACGTCATCTTGACATACGTCAATGAGATCCAAGGACTGAAATTTGTGAATAATCATCATGTATTAATTCATATTAAGTATATAATTATCATTGGAAACCCATGTAGTGTTGATACCACTGTTGTGCCAACAAGATGCTGAAAGACGCGCCGAAAACTATGTCGATCCTTAGAAGCGCTCCGGAGGTCGGTGGCTGCGTGGAGTACATCCTATCAGGTCCTATCATCTATGACTATCCCAAACGCTCCCTGGTACAACCACCGTCTACCAACCAAGAATTGCTTCAATCAAACATCACGCTAAATCACCCTCGTACTTCTATAGCATTATGTTTACATCTAGCTATTGGCTCTGTTCTTGTTTTTTGTTGCCCCTCCTGGTATCTGGTATAGTCTGTGATTCATTAGTACATTAACCCGCATTTGTAGGACTAATATCAATAGTCAAGATGGTCACCCATTAGGATAGTACTAACTACAATCCTATATCATCCCACCATATGGAGGTACTACGGATCTGAATGGGGGATTATGTTTCTTTTTACAATACCATGATCTTAGTACGAACATCTTACGATATCACCAAAAATATCATCCCACCCTCATCTTTTCATACCATTTCTTCTACGGAGGTTTCCGAAAATGGGGTACCCATCACCGGGCGTCGGGATCCACCACCTGCAGCGCTTTGAGCCATCCCACCACTGCACCCAGCAGGGCGCCGTAGCGCAGGCCACGCTTCACCTAGGCCGTCGCCCCCAGGCAACTTCTAGACATTTTGAGCCATGTCCAAATGGGGTGATATTTGTTGATGTTTTTTTGGGCAAAGAAATAATGTGATGATATGGAAATAATATATCTCTGTTGATGGTTCTGGCCGAACAAACATATTTTGGACCTACAAATAAGGTTTGTTGATGTGGACCAGCGCAGCATATGTTGGAACTGCAAAAGGCGATGTTCATCAGCACACACATGATAAATACATCAAGGAGAGTAGAAGTTCTTGATGGATGTTTGACCGAAACAGAGCGGTGATGAACCAAACAAGTAGGGCTTTTGCCAGCGAAAAAAAGGGCTTTTCCACAAGGAGACCATTGAAGATTAAACCAACACTGGGGCTTTTTTGGAATGGATGTCTGACCAGAGATCTTGGTGAGGCTTAGCGATTCCTCCTCCAAACGACCTGGGACATGAACCACTTAAGAGTTTAAGAGTAACATATCCATCTTTCGCAGGCTTGAACATGTTGAAACATGTCTGAAACCAGCCAGCCTTTTGTGTTGGTTATATATGGTTATATCATGATATCATGGGTATTATACATATATAATATAACCATATATATATAATATATATATTATATATATTTATTATATATATATCATGATATCCCATGGTAATATATGGTTATATACCCATGATATCATTTCCGTTTACCATGATGAAGTCGTCAGAGTCGTATCACAAAAAAGTGGCCCATCTCGGATCGCGGAGGCTCAGCACCACCAATTCCATAAAAACCACGGAGACCACGTAGAGCAGCCTCAGCGTCAGATGGTCAGCCACGACAGCCAAGGATTCCTGGAACCAATAGATTTTTGTAATTTTTGTGATTTTTGTGAGAAGGTATGTTTTCCTATATTTCTTGGGTTATGTTATATAGTATGTCAATGTATGATATACCCTTCCGTAAACAAACATAGATATGGAATTTCATCACCAATTGTAGATCATGTTCTTGGGGAAACGTTGATTTGTGTGGGACGAGATTGGCCCGATTACCTTGCTGAAGAACCAAGATAAGGGGAAAACAGTTTCGGATGTGAAAGGATGTCATCAGTGGGTTTCCAATGTCTGCCCCACCATTCTAGTTGTGACAAGTCACATCTTCCAGACTTACATCAACTCTAATGCTGGGTTGTGCTGCCATGTGCTGCCAACAAATGTTGCTTGCTGAAAATGGTACAGTAACAGTACTTCTTTTTTGTGATTAATGGTGATTTAATGGGATTTAATGGGATTTAGTGGTGATTTAGGGGGATCTAATGGTGATGCAGGACTACATGACCCTGCCGCGGTGTAGCATGATGCAGGTATCTTCATGGCCGACCGTTTCGACATTGATTTTTCACCACCATGTGACTGTGATGGTTTCATCCGATGACCCCAAATTGTACCAAAACATCCTAAGCAATGACTTAGAATTTAGAACCCATTCAAAAAAAACGAATTATCCAAGGATGGCTTTCTCAGCAGTGCCCCTGCTGTCAAGTGACAAGGCTTGCCAAGAGTCCAAATCGGCCAAATCTGCACAGCGCATTGGTAGTGCAGCCCACCCCATTGGTAGAAAATGATGATGGGGTACCAAGTTTAAAAGTAAGTTAGAGCAAGAACGAATAAGGATAACACAAAGGCACAAGGGCAAATAAGACTCAAACCATGAAAACGTAGGGATGAAAGGGCCAAACACAGGATATCACAGGGTTTTGAGCAACTGTTGGAATAAGTATCCTTTTCATATAAACGCATTTCAGGCTGCTAGAAGGTTGTACCGGAGCCAAAGGAAAGCCACATCCTTGGACCTTGGAGGGTCCTTATCTGATGAAAGATCTCCATGCGGGGCATCTCGGGTAAAGGACGTCACCAGTGCCCCATGAGATAATTCAATATAATTCACTCTCGAAGATTGGGAAATAGCTTGAAATAACCATAAATAACCAAGAACATATCTACCTGCTGGTTGGGCCCTGGAAATAACTTGATCAATTGAGCGTCATTGGGAATCATCATCCCAAATGGAACGGCGCTCAACATGGACTCCAAACTTTGAGACCCTTGGACCCTGACCATCCGTGTGGCGAACGAAGCGAAGCCTGGCTGACCAAAGGGAGACCGGGAGGCAAAGGGGGATGTTCCTGTCCTCCTCGCCCATCACTTCTGGTTGATACACTTTCCCATGTTGGATTTTGACATATTTTGACTAATAGCCCCAACAAGTTGTAATACTATATATATATACATATACATATTATGAAATTAAAGACGCACCCGTACATTCTCATGTTGAATGATTTTTCTGATGTGCAGATATATATATTAAATCAATAAATAAATAGATAAATAATTAAATAAATAGATAAACAAATAAATAAATAAATATATTATATAAATTAATATATAAATAAATATACATATATATATATATAACACCAGCAACTTGTCATACCCGGGCAACTTATTGTTGTTCCAAAATCAGATTTCTCGCCAGTTTCGAGACCATCCCCCAAATCCCAGCATTGAAAAACTGACCTTGGCCGACCCGTTTCCGTCCAGATTTCACCAGGTTGTGCTAAAATTTACCCAAATAAACCCATCCAATTGATCCGTCTTTTTTTTTTCTCTCTGCCTTTCTTTATTTCAAGGAAAAGCGCACATTCGAAACATTGGACTAGTGTTGTGCTGTAACCCTAGAGAGTTATTGTTACACGCTACCACACCCGTCAAAAAAGAAAAACACCCGTCAAAAAAGAAAAAATGTACAATGTACTCTGCAGTTACACGTAAAACAAGAAAGCAAGGCCATGTTGTAATATGTGGTATATTGCAGATTTTGGGCAGCCAGAGGATATCTAGATAATAGCACAGTAATTTTTGAAATATAGAATATAGATCTATGGAGGTTTCCTAAAATGGGGGTACCCCCAAGTCATCCATTTTAATGATTATTTCCATTATAAACCATCCATTTTGGGGTTTCCACATTTTAGGAAACCTCCATATAGATATGTATGTACTCAGAGAAATGTTCGGCCTCAGGTTGGGCAGGGCGCCGAAACATCCCAGCAGAACACCCGCAGCCATTCCGCAGCAGCCCAGGTGCAATGCCTAAAATGGCCATGGCATCAGAGTCATATATAGATGACCACTGAACATGTTTTTTAACGCTGATTTTTTGATGTTTGTTTTCAACATATCATAATAATTTGTGGAGGCGTGGGCTAGTAATAAAACAACCATTGAGAGATTGACATGAAAGATCTTCAGGTCTAACAATTGTTTGTGGCAACCTGGGGCTCCATGAAACTTAGCTACAGGATGGCGACCCTTTTTGCAGTGTCTATAGGAAGTCCTGAAAGTCCAGTATGATGAGCCTATCCAACTGGCAAAAGATTAAGTTGTGAAACTATCCTTCATCGGTTTCGTTATACCCAGTGATGACATGATCATCTATCTCACCATGTGTATAAACAGTATATACCATTAAATATTATATATACACCTTCCGGTAAATCAAAATAGATACAGTATGGCTTTGTCTGAAAAGTGCTATCCCGATATCCCGGTATGGAAAATCACTGCTGCCAAGTGTCGGCACCTGTTGCCTGAGCGATTGTCGCTAACAAAGCGAACTGTGGCATGTAACCAAAACAGGGCTCGAAAGACTTGTGATCACCCTCTGGAGATCAAACAGGGCAATGGACAGTCCGGTTTTGGAAGAACTGAATCATCTGTAACTGTGAATGGTCGTAAGCAAATAAAGTATCAATTCCCAGTGGATACAATTTGGTAGTCATGGATGTCATACTTTAACCATGATCCCTTATATATAACCGTTATTTGTAGTATTCAATATGCAAAATCATCCTGCGTGTTAATGTTAAGATTGTCCCTTGGCATTTTCAAATAACATCACTGGACTTGTTGTCCGGAATGCCTGCAGGAAACGAGTACACTTAGATCCTCCAAGTATCAACAATCCCTTCCCATGCTCTTAAATACCCCCAAACAAAACCATGGTTAAGCAGTGGGTCTTTTCATTCTGGTGCCCTCATTGGGGGCATTGTATATAAGCTATATGTAGATATGTATCACCATTTCAGTCATGGTTAAACTGTATTAAACCAGATTTCTTGATGGTAACCCCCCCATCAAAAACTACGGCTCAGTCCCACTCTATCCCATGAAAGTTCATCAGAAATCCCATGAAATCCCAAATTCAATCTTTTGGGGTATGGCTAAATCCCATGTTTGATGGTTTTCCATCCCCCATGTTCACCTGTCGTGTTGATGATGTTTTTCCCATGGTTTTTCCCCAAAGCGAATCTGATCATTTCAAGGATGGTTAAACATTTTTGTATAAACCGTATAAACCGCAATGTTTTGATGGCTGAACCAGCATCTTCATGTTTTTTGTTGAGCAAACCTATTAAAACCAACATTGTTTACATTACTCTTTACAATGATTAATCACGTGATTAAACACCATTATCAACGATTTAACTATGATTAACCATTATTACACCATCAAAACAATGATAATAATGATATCTTAACTTTCATCATTAATATTATCCACCATGAACCACCATAAACCGTCGTTATATATATATAACCCTTGGAACGACATCGCTGGTCACAAGCTGCTCCCATCAGCTTCAAGGCCAGCCATCGGCTCCTCCGAAAGATCCGCAGCTGCGCTGTGTACGTCGTGGACGCGCTGGTCCCTTCGGACCTGGCGATGGCTGGAGATGGATGGATAGTCATGGATAGCCAGTAATATCATGAAACCATGGATACATCAGTAGATTGATGGACTAATCATGAAACGATGTAGTTACTGTATATATAAATATATAAATAGAGAGAGAGAGAGAGTTATATAACATATCTAATTGTGATATTGATATATCAACCATTTACCATAAACTATGGATGGTATTGATGATATGTTACTGGGTGATAGCTGGTGATATTAATGGATATCTGGGCAAATTGCAGTAATTCACTAACCTGAACTAAGGCTATATTGGCCTGTTTCCCTTACTAACCATGATTCCAGTGAGGTCACGGTGAGGTCACGGTGAGGTCACGGCGAGGTCACTATAGTATGATACTAATGGATATTATAGAATAGAAGATCATAATGGATGTGAATGGGAATATTTTGATGGTTGATATTGATTGCTTTTGAGGATATGGAATCCATAAATGATACATCAATGGATATCTGTGTATATTTAATCACTGATGAAAGATAGTTAGGGATTAGATTGGTTAGATGGATGGATATTGATGAGATTGATGGATTTAAGTGACAAAACATAGGGATATACTCGAATATACTCGAATATTAATGGATGTGAAGGAAAACTTAAAATGAATATTGATCCCTAGGGCTCCAAACACCTTCTGAAACTGCATTTGGTGTTTTTTCTTTGGCCTGATCACCTTCTCAGAGGGTTTATTGGGAGCACTAGGGAATGAGATATTATTGGAATATGCTGATGAATATGAATATACGATATTAATGGATATTAATGGATACTAATGGAAGATTGGAAGTGTGTATTCGATAGTAGAGAAGAATATAATAGATATGAACGGAAATATGCACACAATAATGGATGTCTGAGGATTTGGTTGATGAACACAGTGGCTTTGATTCTGTTTGATTGCGACTTGTTGGGAATTGGGTCCCACTTGTTGCTTGCAATCCCATGTTGATGGGTTGGCAGTGCCATGCTTTGATCCCCGTTTCGCAAACACCATCTTTGACATTTAAAGGTGTCAAACAAACCCTTCCATATTTGTTGTTAAATCCAAATTTTGGCAAGTGAAATCACGGTTTTGAAGAAACCTGCTCAGGAAATCACTAATGAACATCATGGAATCACCTGCTTTGCCGTGATTTCACGCGCCATTTCGGGTGAACATCCCATCATCCACCCCGGCGCGCGGCTCGCCTCGCGTTGCCTCGCCCCAGCCCCGCCCGCCGCAGCAGTTGCTCCACGGCTTTGGTGTTCAGCACCTCGCTGTTCACCAGCTCCTGCAGGCGACAAAGCTCCATGCTTTATCCATAGAGGGATCCCTCTATTGCGCACCTAGAACCCTGGCTTAGTGGATCTGTTCATTTTAGGGTTTCAATGGAGGCATTTGACTAAGGTGAGGGGGATGGATATATATATATATATTATATTATATTATATATATACATACGTGAGAAACAAAGCCCGCAGAAATCTTGGGGTTTGAAAAATACTCGAGCTTTTCCGACAAAACCCGAGGAATATTTACCCATTCTGAAAGTACGGATTAGGTACGGGTTAGTACGGGTTAGTACGGGTTAAGTACGGGTTAAGTACGGGTTAGGTACGGGGTAGCTACGGGTTCAAAATCAAGACCCCAGGTCTTCAATCGAAAACCGGTGTTTTCTTATTTTTTCCGAAATACATCAGGTTCTTGTGTTGACCTGAGGAAGTCTTAGGGTTTTGGTTCTCCAGGATCCTTTTATTGTGTACACATGAACCCCTGCCACGACTGCATTGGACTGAGAGAAGTGGTTTGGCACCAAAAGATGGCATGGTTTCCTGCTGAAAATACACAATGAATAACGACTCATGATTACTTCGAAAATGTCCCATAAATAAATAGCTGGCTAATATTAATTGTGGCAAATCACAGAGACTGTTGCTCCAAAAAAATGGCTGGTTAGGTAAATGCATTCCCATGCGCGGCAAGATGTTAAACTATCCGTTCGAGATTTCTCTAGACACACAAATTCTTGCCGATCCTTCCGCTATAACATAGGTACAAACCTTTATACCCATACGAGTAACTGCTATCCTCTCAGATAAGAGTCATATAGTCATAAAAGCTTGTAACCAAGAAACCTCGAATTGTCATAGCATGGTATAACCACTAAAAACAATTGTCACAAGTAATCACTATTAATAATAATATATAAATCATTATTAATTGTTAACAATCATTAATCATTATTAGTCATCATTTATCAATCATATAATCAGTCATGATTGATCATTCTTAATCATTAAGATCTTGATTACTCATAATGATTGGCACAGTGTTTAATACTGATCGTTACTAGCCACTAATTATTATAGTCCTTCATCGAAATGGAGGTTTCCTAAAGTAGGGCTACCCACAGTTCTCATCCATTGATGGATTTTCCATTTTCAATAAACCATCCAGCGATAGAGGGGATCACCCACTATGGAAACCCCCAAAAAATAACTTCACGTAACTGGCGCATCCCATTCCATCTCCCACGGCCTTCTCCACCCACTTCTGCACTGTGGTCTGCCGCAGCGGTAGCAGCGCGGCCAACAACGGCACCGCCACGCGCGGCGGCACGGTGCCCGCGCGGCCGTGGTGGCCGGACAGGACACCTCGAAAATCGTGGAAATACGGGTACAACAAATCAATGGCCATAGATTGGCCATAGATCAAAATAGTAGGGAAAGAGTGGCAAAAAAGTAGGAAATGGAGGATTTATCATGGTTTATCCATAAAAAGTTGGGATTTTGCACGCAATTGACATTGTTCTTTGGGGATGATACCCCATTTACAGATTTTACAGCAAACCTTCAACTCGATTGCAATGCGGGGCTTGCGCCAAAAAAACGGATATGCTATGAAAATTAGACCACCTCCTTATTGGGTCAAACTGCGAACGTGTTGATCCTCGGTTGGCTCGACAGGGTAAGTGATCCTGAAATGGGAAATAATAATGTGTAGTTCGTGGTGAAAAAGTGTCATGTCAATCCTGGATTCTGCAAAACCCCTACGCTGTTGATCTTTGGTGCGTTATCATGTTTGTAGCACATCACCATTTGGGGGGAGCACACCCGGTTAATGAACTGTTTTTTTTTTAATTACCCATATTGACATTAAATTGGCATATTTTCGTTGTGACACCCCATGGCCCATGGTCCATCGAAGTATGTGGTTTTGGGGTGGTCAAATCATGACAAATCGGCAAAATTCACCGCCAAGACACAGAGCCCAGCCACAATATCTGAAGGATTCATCTCCTGGCACCCGGATGGGTAAACCAAGGATCTGGAAACAAAAACGCCCGTTGTTTTTTTTGATTTTCCTAGGAAAACCATTATACATCTATGTCAATTTACCCAAGGGTAACAGAACATGGGATAACCCTTCTAATATTTCTAATCTAAGTATGGCTGGTAGGAACACTCCCCGAACTTAAGTCGTGTCCTTGTATGTGTTGGTAATGTTTCCCTCGTTTTCCCTCAAGATGTGGAATCGTGTCCCACATTTGTTCCTTATCTCAGCGTCTCCCCGATTTGTTGGTTGACATGTTTAACCCCTAGGCGGTGGAATTGTTAGGTCAGGTAAATCACAGCATGATTTGCTGTATGTGTTCCACATGTCCAAGTTTGGGACATTCGCGCTGCCATGCGAAACGTTTGGGAGGTGCTTCATCAAATAAAGCATACTGGCAAGACATCAACTATTCCAGCTCTGAATCAAACATGTCAACTGTTACACTTCCGCTACATCTCCACAAAAAAAAATACAAGCTTTCCCCAATATTTGGGGGTCAAAACACCTGGCTTCACCCTAATTATGTACAGCTAATTTGATGGCGTTTTTGGGCCAAAACGCCTTCTCAAAGTGCATTAGAGCACTAGCATCACTAGTTATATTATTATATATATATATATATCATATCCCCATTCAATATTCATTCAATCCCATTAGACCAGCATTTCTCCATCTCTGTTGCTTACATCACTGCTTATCCATTTTGATCCATTTTCTCCACCAAACATCTAGCTCATCATACCTGCCTCCAGCCGAAACAATTTCCTCGCGCCTGCAGGGTCTCTTTGCTGATGGGCGTTGAGAGGGCGTCAAAGGCGCTTCGACAAATGGGGCAGCGCCTGCAGGGCCCATGCCGGCCCAGTTCGTTAGCCAAGTTCGTTATAATATAGATAACTAGGATATAGCAACTAGGATATCATAACTATGTTAGATATGATATATAATATAGCATAATATGTTTATAGTAACCATAGTTACCATGATTTATAAACCAACAAACTGGCGGGGCACCACCTTGTATCCAATTCTGGTTTAAAAAAAAACACAGGGTTTCTCCCAACACCCCAGGGACAAGGGAAAACAATTTGGTAAACAAAGACGTAAAATGACCAATTTTCCAACAATGTATCTGTACGTATCCGTATATACTATAGTAGTTTGCAGCAACTATGAGAAACAAAACGGGCTTTTGATGGGGATCATCCATTTCTGAAAAACCAACAATACGGATCAACAAGCCATTCCTGGGGGAGAAACAATCCATTTTGGTACGAACGGCAAACAAATTATTGAACAAATTGCAGTGATGCATAGAGCAAGGTGGTAAATCTTCCATCGTCCCACGCACTGTGTAATCAGTGAGAGCAACACCCATGAGGGGGTGAAGAAACAGTAGAAATATATCATAGGGTGATAAAGTGGGTTTGACTATCTGAGGTGTGGACCCAAACAAAAACAATACCACTCACATATATGACTACAAAAAAACATAAGGTCATACCATGTCATACCCAACACCTACCAAACATCAACATGGAGGTATCATGTAGGTCCAATAGGGGATGAAATCAAACAAAACAAAGAATGTGATCAATCATCATACCCTCTGGTAAACTAACATAAGTATGCAAAATCACCATTTTTAATGGGTAAATCAGCTCTAAATGGGCCATGTTCAATAGCAAACTGTTAAATTACCAGAGGGTAAACCATCTGCAATTCTCCCAATTCGCTTCCAGTATCAGAAATGGACGGAAGCAACAAATCCCCATGGGCCCCATGGGTGCTGCAGTTCCCTTGTTTGTTTAGCCAATACATCGAGCAACCGACGCCCCTTGTTCAATGATAAAACCATATAACACTATCATCGTTTTTGGGATCAAATGGTGTTTATGTTATATATAAATAATGGTTTATGATGCTTTATGAATGTTTTTATTGTTACTATGATGATTTAACTATGATGGTTATTATGACGGTTTAACGTCCAAAAGCTCTCCATGAAAGATCTACTGTGCCTCTCGTACCTTTGTGGATGAAATGGCTGCTCTTCATTGATATTGATTTATATTTAAGCTGCGTCCAACATATATGCTCCGACGACAAAACATCTCCAACCAAAATTTACCCGGAGAATTGGACAGTTGATCCTCCCCAAATATGAGGATGTTGGTGAAGCATGACGGCCAACGAACATGGATGAACATGAGGTATGGGATGGCTAGCTGTTTCACAAGTTGCAAAAGGCCAAAAAGTGCATATGAATCAACAAGAACCAGGTCCAGTAGGGGCAAATTCACTCCAACCATCTCTGTGGCAAATGATTTCACCAGGGGTCGTCTTTTTTAAATACAGATATATTGTGTATATATGCATATATATACACAATATATATATATTCTCATCATTACATAATATTTAATATTACATGTATGATTTCCCTATTGCGGATTTTTTAGAGGGGCCCAACAGTTCGACATCGCTCAACGTGGTACCCACCAGTTTATTGTAAGCTGGGCCGGAAGCCCCATCAACTGGTTCGATATACCCACCATACATCCTAGTCTACCTACTTAAAAACCAGCTTAACACACAATCCGAGGCACAACCTTGCTTTGCTTTTGCTGTGCCAACAATCCTTTACACCTTCCCCCTGATTCTTTTTGGGTGGCCTGGGACGCAGTCGCTCCGCACAGGCTGCGTGCATATAGTGCAAACCTCATCAGATAATTATGGGCGGGATATTGCCAATCAATCATAGGATATTTTTGGTGTGTCTGGAAATGGCTGCATTTGGCTGGATTGAGCAACCCAAAATCAGTAGGATAATTAGACTTATATACATCGTTGCAAAATTTAGTCCAAACAGAGACTTCACGAAACATAATGGTGTTACTGTACGAACATTTAAACATTGGAAACTCCGCCAAAAAAAACCTGCAACTATGTCACCACCAAACAAAAACAATGGCTTGGCTTTATAACTTTTTTTGCCATGGTTTTCCAGGCCAAACAGTGGTCAAACATGGCCCTGTCATGCCGTGTCCATAACCCCGACCATGACGATGACCGAGTTGCAGCTGGAGGTCGTGTCACTTTCCAGTGACAGGAGGGCAGCCACGGGCTGAGCACATAAGGAATCCAAGCAAATACCTGCATGTACCCTCCAGAAATTGTTAAATTGGTGGAAACACATGGGAAAATAGCCTATAAATGGCGGAACATCATGGGACATCCCATCAATAAATGGTGTTTTTGATGGGATGGTCAAGCCATGTGCCATGGCAATTTTTTCTGGAGCTCCACCAGCCTCACACGCAAAGCAAGCGGCAGCAAGCGCATACATGGTAATTAGAGGTAATCATCCCGTAGACACAAGTATAAAACCAACTTATATCGGAAAATAGAAGTACAGTAAATGGAGATGGACAAAAAGAACTCTGAAACTACCATGGTCCAGTTGGGTGACTTTGAAAGGATTGGAAGGGCACATTTACATGCTGACGGGTAGATGTTGTGTCAAGAGAATTGTTTTCTGGTTTCCCCTTGGCCAAAACCACCACTCATCAAACCTTAGATGTTCGTGTATCCCAAAACGGTGCATTATTATATTATGGCAGCCCGAAAAAATAGCAAAAAACATATTGTCACTATTTTGTTTTTTTTTTGGGGGGGGGATATGTTGGTACATCCTGTCCATGTGTTTGGCGTTTTTCGTTGTATAAGAATTCCATCTCGAATACAAACACAAACACGATCACGTGGTCGCGAGCCAAGGCCAAGCTACAACAAACCTCCAGTTCCTGCGGGAGGTGGCGGAAAACCCTGCAAGAAAAGGATTGCCATTCATGACCTCGAGGTCAATGTTAATATGATTATATATATAGTGTATAAATAAATATAAATTCATGAATAAATAAATATATATATATATATAACGTGTATCACATTATCAAAATCAGAGGAACATATTCTAAACTAGTTATCTAGAAGTTGCTACATGATCTTACCATCTTACCATGCGTGGTATGGTTTCCCATAACGTGACTACAACAGATGTCCATCACCAATGTTTTCGCGCATAAAACATTGCCAAACTATGGGCCCCAGTTGGCTAGCGATCATCGATCACAAATACATGTATAGATATGTAGATGTAGTTAAATAATTTTTATAGCCGTAGATATAGATATGTCGATATCAATATCATTATTGATTTTTAGATGTAACTATATATGTTTGCTCTAGATTCTAAATGCTTACATTTTCCGTAGATTAATGTAGTGATAGATGTTCTAGATTTGACAATTACAAAACACAAAAGAAAACGGGTGCAGAAATAGCACCAATGCCAATGCCAATTACCATTTACTGTAACAAAAACCGTTTGGATTTGTTTGAACTTGGAGAAATGAAGCAACGAAACTTTCCTACCCAAATTTTCCCAAATTTTATTCTTGGTGGATATATCCCATGAAATATCCAATGACATATCCCACTATACGCAGCAACAATGGTCTGTCCTCCCTCATACTTCCGTAAAAATCTTGCCATCAGTAGGGTATCTCCCCAGTGACCACTTCGCGTTCCACCTTGTAAATCTCACCCTCAGCAGCGCTTTGTCCGAGGCAGTTTCGGAACATAGGCATGGCTGCTCCGGCGGTACCATCAACCATGTACCAAATCCAACCTTGGTGAAGAGTTGGTTCATCAGCTTGGTGCGAAACCCATCTGAATGTCTTCGCTGGGTTGCAGTCCTTGCAACCAGTCTGACACCACTTGTATTTGCTGCACCCATACATGGCATCGAAGTCAGACAGTTTGGTTGCCGGCTTCTTGCCCGAGTCTGTCTTGGCTGGCTGCAGAACCCACCTCTGGATGTGGGGGGAGGGCAACTCCGTTTGTCTCTATGATCTGAATCCTCACTGTTGCTATTCCGCTCTCATCATTTTGCCACAACAAAACATTGAGGATCCTGAATTACATACTAATACCTCATGAACTTATTGGTTATATCAGGTTATATCATATCCTGTGAAATATGCAAGTACATAATGTATCCATTTATTACAACATCATTGCATATCTCATTAGCAAGATTATATCAAATGACTATATCACCACTATGATTGTCTCCACAATATACCCACCATCATTGTTTTGATACCCCCGTTAATTCCAACATCTATAAAGTCATGTCCAAAAAGACTCCAAAGTTAAATATCACTATGTTAGTGGGATGTTATCTTACTTTAAGGGATGACTATGATATACCGATATACCCTCTAGTAACCAAACATGGCTTGCGGGAAAATCCACCATTAGTTCGAGGATTCTCCACTGCCACGTTGGAGTACAGGAGGGTGACTAACATTAACTGTTACCCTCTGGTTATGACTAACATAGCCATGGTATAGATGGCCCATTTATGGATGATTTTCCCACTAAAACCTCCATTTATAAGGGATTTTCCATGGCTATGTTAAATAACCAGATGGTAACCAGTATTCTCCCATCATTTACTGTAACCAGTATTAACAATGATTAACAATTTTTAGATCATCATAACAACAGTATTACCCATTATCATCAATATTATCAACATCATTAACCATTTTTATCAACCATTTAACCAGTATTAACCACGGTTAACCATTGTAAGGCAACCATGAGGAACCATTATCAAACCATCATAACACCATCATTATATAACCATTATCATGAATATCACCAACCGATACTTAACCAGTATTAACCATGTTTAACCATCATCAACCAACTAACCATGTCAACCAACTCCCAAATGGTGATTTTCCAAAGTTATTTACCTAGTAAATCAATTACAAAAATACATGGTAGCATTTGGAAATTGCCATAGAAATAGTTGATTTACCTGTTCAAAATGGGTGGATTTTCAATATTTATGTTAAATTACCAGATTGTAGCTGATGTTAATACAAACTATGTAGCTAATGATTTTCTATAAATTACTTGTTGATTTTCTTGTTACCATAATGTTAATTTTCCAAAACATTTTTTTAATTGGGTATGGGTCAAAATTAGGTACCCCAAAATTATGGATGGTTAATACTAAACTAGACTAACATCTGTGGTCCCCTAGGTCTTCCATTTTGACCCACATCCAATTGGATAAACAATTACCAGATGGTAACAAGACATTTCCAACACACGACGCCACGATGCGTCCGGTCTCGTCCCCACCTCGGACTCGTGCAGCATATGCCCCGAGCTCGTGTGCACCACATCGCTGGGTGAGCCGCCCGGTGCCGGTGCCATGGCGGAGGACCGCTGGGCTGGCACCACTTGGGGCCTATAGATCTATATATAGATAGATAAATATGGGCTTTCGATGGTCAATAATGGATATATAATAGTGGATTAAAGATGTTTCTAGATCGAATTTCTGCATTCTAGATGTATCTCCGAAGATGTACATGAATTTGATTGCAGATATTATTTCTTGGGCAAATTTCGGCCCAATAGATTACAGGAAATGGAGAAACGTGGATGTATCTGCGATTGTCCTGGCGACCAATGGGATGCCAAGGGCTATAAACCTTTGTCCTCGTGGCTGGAAGGTATGTTTGGGTTGTGGCTATCTCGAAGGCTTCGGAAACTACCATACGCAACTGTCACGCAGTGTGTCGCACGCATGCATTGCTTGAGACATCTTGAAACCGGTTCAGGCGGCAGGGTGTGATGTTGGGTCAGCATTGACAGAATCTGACATAAATTAAATTGACATTCAACATCATTGAACATCAAACCATGGGGGTTTGTTTGGACAATGGTCTCACAATTTCCCAGATTGTCTTGGTCACCCAAATAATGGTTTTGTCTGAACATGGTATACCCAAATCATATCCATCATTAATTTGCCATAAACTGCCTATGTGAGTGGCATCCTCATTTTCAGACACACCTCATATTCTTGGATGTTTATTAATATTGTTCATATTCCGATTATTTTTCCATGATAGGCAATTTCATCACTATAAAACATCATAAGACCGTATAAATCCCAAACAGTAACCCTCAACCCCCTATACTGTAAAATCACCATAAATTGGTCAAATGATTCACTGATTCACTCAGCCAAGGTCAGGAACATGGCCTCAACCAGGGTCTTCAGCACAAGCTTTACCAATTCCACTTCCAGCAGATTGTATTTGCTCCTCAGCTGGACTTCTTGTCTGGGGATCGCAGTCTCAAGATGTCTCAAGCCATGGCTTTTTTAATTGGGAGGCTATAAATCAACCATTCTGTAGAGGTGTAATTGGATGTTTTGTGGTATATAATATGGCATGACAGAACCAACCGTATGATTTGGGTTTGTCTCACAGTGCGGCTGCCCAAAATTGCTGGCATTCAAGGGCCGTGATAAAGCTGAAATGAGATTGTTTGATCTTATGATCGTGATGCGGACCGCAACTTCACACCAACAAGGTGGGCACCCTAGATTGCTAAGTTGCTTCAGAACTAGATTGACTAATTATATATGTAACGTATACATAGTTTATGGCAAATTATATCTATAATCTACAAATAATGGAGGTGATAAACCAATCTATGACAGGATGCATCACCTTGAAGGTGTCTGAAACACGATCCCAACATCAAATTTGCTCCTGAGAGTCATGCTGCCAAAGTGTTGAATCAAAGTGTCAACCAGGACCAGGAGGTCAACTCGCTGAGTACATCGCAACATTCGTGCCCCATTTTCAGGAGCCAACATATGATAAGGGTCTTACACCATCTAGTTGCCCTTTGTGTAAAGCCATGTGAAACCCAAGTTGAGGGGCCTAACAACCCCACAGAACACCTTGGCCTAAGAAACATCCAATCTCTCCTACATGGCACATTATAGTGCATCAAATGTAAGCTGACAGAAGTTGCAATGAGCAGGCCTTCCTTCCAACCAATCGTTTTGAATAAATAGAAAGGGATAGTTTGGTAAGTTTGTTATACCATTTTTCATATCACTCGCCTAGAAAGTTAAAAAGGTTGTGGAAAAGGGGTTGCCCACCCTTCTATTTTCATCTACCAGCCATGATCAGCCGTGTGTCCCCTCGTTGTTCTGGCTTTCCTGAGCAACAAAGGGCTGCTAGATTGCCAGGGAAACCGTCACGGGGAAAGGCATTGCCCAACGGATACAAACTCACAGGTACGAACATGTATATAATGTACATGTATGTAATGACAAAAAAATAATGCTTCTTTATCTCCCCATGTATTTAATTCATGTTGCTGATTAATTGTCACCATACAAGTATGGCAAACCTCGACCTCAAATATAATGTCAACAAATGTACAGTGTCCATCTGCGGCTAATCATGAGCCCATTGGCCTGCCACATAACGGTGACAAGATTACCTATACGTACATATAAGGCTCTTTGTATGTATATGTATATATATATATATATATGTGTGTGTGTGTGCGTGTTTTTGTTTTATGTAGTCGTATTGTGCATGTCTGATTGTCTATAACAACATATTTACAGGTACTAGTATGCATGTTGAGTATGGTTCAGTTATAGGTGCTATAGGTATCAAGCCGTATAGGTGTATTGTGTAGGTGTAGGTACCGGCATATGTGCAATCAACTGATAAATAAGGTGCATTGACATTGACACGTGCATGTACATGTGTGTTGCAAGCAGGTTCTCCCCGTGAACCTCGTAGGCACACAAGAATCCCAGTTTTTCTCATTTGCAAAGTGGGCTCAAAAACCCACCATTGCACACAACTAAGCGTAACTTACTAGTAAGATACCAAGCAAACATGTATTTTGCCAAAATGAGTTTTGTAACAACGTAGCCAACCATATGACTCCAGGATCCCACAGTGACCAAGGCGATCCAAGGCTCCAGGTTGGCGCACATTGTTCCGCCGAAGTGTTGCACAAAGTTGGCCTTTGGGCGCTGGAAGCTGAGCCCCAGAGAATCCCATGTCAAGGAGCGAACCCATCTTTGCTGCGGAATATCATCGTATTATAAATCCATAGTGCTCTAATCTTAGAAAGTGTTTTGACCTCAAAAAAAAACAACCCCAAATCCCAAGTATAGTCTTTCAAGGTGCTTGGAGCTGTACACCGTCGCGTTATTTTTTTGGACAAATCGCGTGCATTTAGTGTCCATCTTCGTCAGTCCAGGTCTTTCTTGCCGTCGGCAAGAGGTGGATGAAAGCCAATTGCCGAGATTCCTCTCTCGAAACATTTACGGGACAAAATGAGGGACCCAGGGAGACCATGTTATTTTGCCGTCACTTAGGGTTTCCACCCGGCAAATTCCGGCAACCATTGTCTCAAGCTACAGTAGTGTTTTATTTGTTTATATTATGTGTCTTTTTCTAGTCATTTCCTATCGTTGTCTCAAAGTGCTTCAAAAAGTCAGCTTGGCACATTTGGGATAAAAGTAACCAACTGATTTGGCTGAGGTGCACTATAACTATCTATAACTTGGCCAATTTATTCCACACAACAAACGGACAGTGTAAGATTACTGCGGGTCTGTTCTGATCTATTTCTTGGGTTCACCACATCCTACGCTCCATGGCCAATGTTAGATACCCAGCCCCCCATCCGCCCTTGAAATAGTTAGACAGAGTTTGCCCATGTTTTCCCAGTAAACTTAACATATAATTATATATAACTATATATGTATGTATAAACATATATATATATATACAGATAGTTATATATATACATATGTATATATGTATGTACATAATACAAGGATACATCCGATATGAATCACAAACGCCATCCACTCGATATTCAATGGTTCAATGGTTCTACGACAAGTTGAGCCACTGCATCGGGCGAGGAAGTGTCGAGGTACATGATGGGCGCTGGGCGGCGGAATGACCTTAGCTGGTTGGTCATTCCAAAAAAAGATGGAGACAGCAGCGCTTGAACAAAAAAAAACAACGTATGGACATATTGAAATATATGGTCATGGTATGCGATGGTAGTTCTGCCAGAATTGGAAGTAGAGGGGAAACTTGATGTATATTCGATTTTACATGATTACTTTTGACAGGAAAACTCCCCACTTGGCTGAAGATATAACTGCTCCAAGATTTGATGAAAGTAAAATGCGACTCATTTGATATACCTGAAAGTGGTGATACAGTCATCCACAGAAAACCAAAGGTGAAATAAATCATTGGGATTTTCTGGCATGGTTTTCCCTTTAGAATTGGTTCAAACAAAACGTAGCCAGAAAAAATGCTGGAGCCGCTATGACAAGTCATGTCTATTCGTGTATTTCCATGTGCTTCCATGTGTTTCCTGGATCTTGAATGATTTGAATATTATTAAGTGAAGAAACTTTTCCAAAACCAGCAAATTTGCGGTGGCCCAGGCGGGCTTCTTGAAATTCCTGTCAGGGCAAGAAATTCTTATATGGCATTGCATTGTGGGTCAATTGGACAAGCCATGTGTAATTCTTGGTGGCCACTATTTCTTGAGCAGCAGCAGGTTGATTGTCACAGAAATTTACATTGATATCATATGACAATACAAAACCGAATCTGATGGTCTTGCTGGGTCTAGCTCAGATGTTGTTTGCCTGTCCTTCATTCCTAACCCGAAAACAAATTGGGGTCACCCTCTTTCTCGCGCCACACGCTATCCTCGGAGACGGCGTCTTCGACGCGGCCGCTGCATGCCATGCTCGCTGCCCTGGTCTTCCTTCGCTGCCACCACCTGTTGTGGAGGTATTGGTGTCGGCAGCCATACCCTGACATTGAAGTGATGCTCGCAGGCCATGCACACCACGAAGTCAGAACGATGCACCACTGACGCCATACGTCCGAGTACTGAGTGATCTCAATCTGGTCAGCACCACCAAGCAACATGCGAGATGATTTTCGAGTCCTCGCACAGTCAATGCCAAAGTTCAATCTATTAACCTGTTCATGTTAATTGGAAGTGTAGCTCTATGATTTTTTTTTAAAATAAATTTAAGGCCCCAACCGTCTGTCGTCTGAAGCCTTTTCTAGGAATGACATGTTGCATTTTTTGGGTTAATCCTTTCACACAGCTTTGGAGGCATTTGGAATCATTTGGATATACATTATGTTGACAGGGTATGTCATTTGTAAGTTTTCCAATGCTTTCCACTATAATAAAGCAACCAGGTGAGATTAGGGTTGAGGTGAACCTTTGCGGCACACCCGTTCCAAGCAGGTTGAAACTTCCAAGGATTGGGTGAGGGTATAGTATGAAAGCTCCTTACCATCGCGATTGTGGTGGAGGGGTTCACCGCAGATTTGATGTGACAAATTGTCAAGGGTGATGGGGGCATAGTATGCCTATAGCGGAGTATATTGTGGGTTTGTCAATGGCACTCCCAAAATCCCATGCAAACGATAAGAATTTCCCATATCAAAGGTGTCCTATAGAGAGATAAAACCAAACACCATAAGGATTTGACCCACCATTGGTCCATGACCCACCAAGCAATTCGCAATGCTACGAGGCACTGCGTACGGAAGGGTTGACTCATCAACTTCTTCGAAAAAGAGCTCAGGGGAAGGCCATCCTGCGGCTGTCTTTGTGCCTTACGGCCATCATTCGTGGACCATGTGGACCACATTTTTTCAAGGGGACAACGGTGCCTTGAACGAGGCAATGGGTAATGTCAAGTACCATGCTATCCCATGCTATCCCGCTTTGTATATATATATATATATACCAGCACCGCCAAAGGGGCCCCACTGTGTTTTTGGAAGTTGATATCTTTAAGGGGTCCCACTACGGGAACCCTTATTCCCAAGGTCATACCAACTGTTAAAAACATATGTGCTGGATATAGTAAGATATATTTGTAGGTATTCTTTGGTAATCTTGTCAAATAACCCCATTCCATCAATCACCAGTTCACACCTGGCTGCGCTGCGGCGGCATCGGCTGGACCAGCTCAACATTTTGGAAAGAGGCTCAGAAGGTGCCAACGGGAGTCGTTGGAAATGCAGTCGCCGGAAACTCACAGCACACAAAATGACAGCATAAAAAAATACATAGTGACATCTTTTGACATTTAGAAAATTTAGAGTATATACTCTAGCTTATTCTGTGAGTCTTCGAAGCCATCGCACGCATGTATATGCAGCGTAGCGTGACAGAACTTGTCGTCCCATCTGGTTGGGATATGAAATCATCGTTAATTTCTTCAGTTTTCCCATCGCGTCCTCATCTGTATAGCAGCTTAGTTTCAGTGGAGAAACTTCTGGAGCACAATCGTAGACGATATGGTCTAACCTCTTTGTCTTCTCATCCTTTGCTGATCCTGTCTTTGGCGGTCTCTTGCCACTTTCATCTTTGGAGTCTGCATTGTTTCTCAACACCTCTCCTACATGTCTGAGCTGTGCAGCTGTTTCCTTTCTGTTTTGCTCGATATCTTCAAGTGCTTGTTTTCTTTTCTTTTCAAACTTTTTGAAAGCCTCTGTCGGAACAGTTTGAGCTTTGAGTGCCCTCATCTTCTCAGCGCTCACCTGCCCAGGTAAAGTAGCCGACATAGCCCCCCAGCCAAGTATTACATCAGTGTTCGTTGTGATATAAATAGTGGAGCATGTGCATATGCTCACATGAAAATGAATTATCAGGGATAGTCAGCCATATATATATAATATATAAACAAATACTACTTACAGAGTTTCCCCTACTCAATAGGGTTAGCCAGCCTCAAACTCTTTTCCATCCGGCATGGCTGGAACTAGATCGACTAGGTTGTTCCCGAAAAAACCCGCTGGAGCCACAGAATAGATCGATCGTTTTTTTGACCAAACCACCAAAAATGAGATTTCACGACACGAAATGACACGCCCCCTGAACTTGGTGGGCACCCCCGACACTTTTTAAGGGGTCCCACTACGGCACCCCTTAGCCTAAGGGGTCCCACTGTGGGACCCCCAAGGAACCACCCGAGACACGCCACTGACACGTTTGACACGCGCCTTTTTTGGGATTTGGATAGATTTGGAATTTTCTCAGATTTCTAGCCCAAAACATTTACCAGATTACGTTTGGGATTTTACCGTAACTTGCCCAACGAGCTTGCAGGCTCATGGTTTGAAATGGAGATGAACCCTTTTTGCTCGGTAAAAATATCATTTTCCAAAAGATTATGCCCAGCTGTTGTCATTCCCCAAAATGCATTGTCCCATACCATAAGATCACCTATGAAAACGTATGGTTGTTGGTTCGAATATGTGAGCTAGCTATTATTTTGGTGGTTACATTCAGATACTTCTTGTGGAAACAAAAGGTACCCATATACCCAACAGCTTTTCAGAGGTTAACATTATCCGTGACACCTCAGCAGCAAGTTCAACAGTCTGTATTTTCCACACCCCAAGGAATTGTTTGGATCTAAAGTTTGACAGAGTCAAGTAATATACGGCAGATCGTCTTGGTGCGATCTAACATCTACTTAGTGTCTGGGTTTTCAGCAGCCCGGCGGCGCTCCAACTCCGTCATGAGTTGGCAGGATGTCTCCGCCAGGCCAAAACTCACCAGATCGTCGGATCCATTCAATACATTTATCATCGATACGGGCCATCACCGCTTTTGCCATGATCCTTATTCACAGTCATGGTTTTTAAAAATGAATGTTGATGTTTTTTGCCCGATGAAACCCTCCAAATATGTGGTTGGACAAGGCTCTTCGCCTCATCATTGAAATCCTTGCTGCCACTCTTGCGCTTCGGCATGGCAGATGTCCAACGACGGAATTTCCTTCTAATGATACTTAACATTGTGTTGGGGTACCTTGCACCTCTAGTAACTCTATTACCTATCTGTTTTAACTTGGGCCATTCAGTGCCAACCATTCCATAGCTTTGAAGGTGTTGTACCTGATGCCCATGCCTTTGGTCGATCATTCCTACATGAGCCGGTGGCCAGGCTGCAGTGTGGCCATTGCGGGTGAACCTGGGCCCTCAGCGATCAAAAATTGAGATGCATGGTCAAGAACCCTCCAAACTACCTCTAAACCACCTAAAAAAATAAGGGGTCCCACTGTGTTTTTTGGCTAAGGGGTCCCGCTACGGCACCCGTTTGGTACCCCTGGTATATATTACTGGTTGGTGGTTGAGCCCTCTGAAAAATGATGGAGTTCGTCAGTTGGGATGATTTTTCCATTCCCAAAACAAATGGAAAGTCATAATCCATTCCATGGTTCCAAACCACCAACCAGATATATGTCTATGTAGTTTTAGACTATGTTAGACCCCTGGTGGATCCGAAATTGGCCGATCCGAAATCTCCTGCGCCATCCTGCGCCTTCCCCCGGCGCGGCCTGCAGCTTTCCACCATAGAATTGAAGGCTGGGCCACTCTCGAATCAGCGGATGCATGCGGTATTGCACCTGCAAACAACACGTCCAGGGCATCTCAAACAACAAAACGAGGGATTCACCCTTCTATATAGACATAGCACAGAACCATCATATAGAATATAGATGTATATAGTTGTTTATACCATTGATACGCATTTATGACTTTTGTGATCAATATTTGGGTCAGGTTACGAGATTAATTTTGAAGAACACCCAGTCGGTTTCAGTCATGGTATGGTGATGTACAACATTGTACAATGGTGTATCAGAAAATGTTCCCTTGACCCAATTCAGGAACCCAACTAAACCACATCTGAAAACATGGTCAAAGTTTCAAGCTGAATAGATCAAAGCTTCAGTTACCCTAGTGACACATTTCCAAATTTTCCAAATGACGATTAAAACATATTAAAACGGTCCATTTTTGTGGCAAATCTGATGGTGTCCCCGATTTGAAGCGATGGGATTGACGATGAAACATGGTTTGTCCTTGTGGTCCGAATGGTTTGCAGAATTCTCGCTGGTTCCTTTAGTCACAGTTATGGCCATGGCTATTAGTTATAACTGGTTATAAATGGGATTATACAATCTATAAATGGGGTTACAAGTACTTATAACTGGTATTTGGGGCCATAGCTGCAATCAAACCCAAAGCTCAACATCTTTCCTGCACTGGACAGAAACCTCTCCATTCCGATCCCTCCTTCGGCACCTGCAACATGTTAATCTCACGATTGAAGAGGCTGGGTGAATTTAAAAGCCGATCAAATAGCGAATCCTGCAGACCTTGGCAACGACTCCAACGACCCAATGTCGGGGGCCCCACCTTCTATGATTCAATGGGCTTTAGCTCTTGCATTCCTATCATTGGCAAGTAGTTTCCCATTGAATTCATTGAACTTCACGCTACGGCCAAACTATAAATCCCAAACCCTTCGTCCGCAAATTTGGGCCCGTGAAGTCGCTGTGCTTTCTCCCGAATTACAATGGTGAATCAAATAGGTAAAGGTCCATCTTTTGCTGGTGAAATCAGATCTCTCTATCTCTCTATCTATCTATCTCTCTCTCACTCTCTCCCTCCTTCCTACCGTATTTAAACATATTGAAAACCCTCATATTTATAGATGTTTATCCAATTTTTCTGAATACTGACAGGCAGTCACTTAGAACATTTTTTCCAACATATTCGATCTCACACTTAGAGCATAGAGTTCTTTGGCCCTATGAATTCTCCACATCCAGGACACCCTGGGTCTAGCCCATCCGAAGCAAGTGGCCCTTCTCGGCCGCAGCTTGACACAGCACCACTGGGGGCAGCTGCTTCTGATCCCCGACGAGGATGAATTGCTTTTTGGCCTTCCTTGCCAAGCAAAGCTAGGAGCAGCGGCTCAAACGAAACATACGTGGTTGATGATTGTTAGCCTTTTAGAGGAAAACACATCAATATAGATACACATTGTATTTATATGAAATATATTATATATGACTCACGAATCTTCGATAAAGTGATGAGGGCATCATGAGTTGCAATTCAATATAGAACTAACTAGCAATCAAACATGTTCTTTGTCGGTTCAAAATGAACAATTCATCATTATTCCGGGGCTTTCTAATCAATCAGAATCTATGGGGTAGTAACCAAAAATCACGGATATGGCCCTTGTGGGGTTCCATGTGACATCTTGTGCTAACTGATCAATTTCGGCCCCATTTGTAGCAAAAGCATTGTGAAACATACTGAAGCATCCAAGGTTGGCCCAGGTATTAATCATCATCTAAACCATATTAAACCACACCAGCCTCCAATGTGGTGTAACCATTGCCATTTCAGGTTGCGATTCTGTCCACTTGAGGAGCTGTCAGCTTAATTTGCCTTTTAGACTGTGAAAATATGCAAAATCCAGACACCCCAAACAAGCAGCCAAAAACATTATATAAGTAATTATCCAAACAAGTCCAAACAATTCCAAGCATCTACATCTAAAACTGGTAATATACATCCAGGCCATCCAAGGAATTCATTGGTCAAACCTCAGAGACCAGTGCCATCGTGCCATCGTACCCGTTGTCCAAGCCACTGGAAGGCCACCAAACATCGCGGTTCCGTGGCCTGCGAGGCTTCATCGATGATGACCTGTGGACCGGAGCTGGTCACATCGTTTGCACCACACGACCCTAGGGCCCTAGGGACTTGACCAACAAACATCAGAGTTTCACCAACAAGTATGTGGAATAAATCAACGAACATGTTGACATAACCAGCAAGATGATTGAAGGGACCAAAGTGAAATGTTTGGGTCCATCATACTGCCATATACTGCCTGTATTATCATATTATCCTATAATATCCATTAATGTCCTATATTGTATTGGCATTTAACGAAAGCCCATTGACCAAACTAGAATGAGATTGTCCCAACAACCCGTACTGCTGAGCAGGGGCATCTCGCCCCAAATGATCTTTGCTTACAGTATCCCCCTCGTAATATTGCCGGGAACGTGGGAGGTGCCATTTTACAAAAATAACTTTGAAAATGACAACCGGGCTTATAAAATTTCAAAAATGTCATTTGTATAAAATGAGAATTCCAAACATTTTTTGGAGAACGGGTTTCTCATCTTTTGCAGGTGATACCAAAAAACATATCAAAAACATATATATATATAGTGAGAAGGTGACCCGGGGTTGAGTTTCTTTCGAGTGACCAAGATTACATAGTCATTTCATGTCATTTCATAATCCCTTAAAAACATATTAAAAACACCAGCACCCTTATGAAATGGAAGTCGCAAATTTTGAGTTTTCACATTATATAAGGAACCCCGCAAAAGTGATCCCGATTTTTTAAGGGGGGGTCTTTTGCAATGACCCGAAAAATGGCACCGGGGTTGCTACATTCTATAAGGATATTACGAGGTGGATAAGACAGTCCTACAACATTTAAACACAACCATGAGAAAATAATCATCCTTATAGCGTGGCAATGGACAAAAGTTCCGTTTAGACAAACGTGCAATAGATCATTTACCGCTGATCCAGAAAGTAATGAGAACAGCTGGAAACCACAACAATTGCCAAAGCACCGTGTCGAAGGAACTTTGGAGCAAAGCATCGCAACCTCGAACGTGCAAAATGTTGCATTCTTCACTTCAATCCTATTGTTGCATGAAGTGAACAATCATGCGAATCCAGTGAACAATCATTATTCACAATCATTCTTCACTTCAATCCTATTGCATGTTGCTAAATAATCTTGGCACCCATGACTTCTGAAGATAACCTCCCACAGTCGCAAATTGGCCAGGCCACCACAGCCAATCAGCGTGGAACACACCACTTCTGCTGCGTCGATCAGCTCGTCGCTGACCTGCAGGAAGTCGCTGGAGATTTCAGTGGGTAGGTGTCATCGAACAAATGGGAGGCTTCCAGGAAGCCATGCTTGATTACAAGAAGTTTGATTGGTTTGATGGGTTTCTGCTTGTTTTGTTTGGATGACAACTGATGCCAACGCATAATTTGTGGATGGTTGGACAGCGGATGTGTACTTTAAAGATATGGTGTTCAAGTTTTGAACTGTTGGCAATCTCTTCAACATGATCTTTGTGTGTCGCTTTGTGTTGTTGAGATTCTTCGCGGGAGAAAACTTTGGAACCTTCTCATGAGCCATGAAAAATACCCCTATCCCATCCCAATATGTTGGGTAGTATACTATTTCTATTATGAATCTATGAGTTGTGAAAATCCCCAATGAACCAGTTGGTATAGCCCCCCATATTTGTCCCATGAACAGAGGTATTTTCCGTGGCCCATATATGGTGCAATGGGGAACCTCACGGCCTGCTGCTCGAACTTCTGGATATCCCTGACGTGCAAGGAGATGTCACGATGTGCTAAGCCTTTCCCTTTGCCTTTCAGCTGCCCTGCGAAGCCCGGCGGCGAGCTGGAAAAAGATTTGAGACTACGCAAAACATCCCTATTTTCTTGGCAAACGCAAATCATCGGAAGAATAAACCACTTCCTCAATCAACAGCCGATCATATATATATATACAGATATATAGATACAGTACATATATTGTATTAGATTATATGCGTGTATATCTATATATATATATAATGGAAATACCATATCTGTCCATTCATTTAATGTTCACCCAGCCCCACCAAAAACAAAAACCTTTGTGGCTCCTGAGTACAATGCGTTCTTCACCTGACTCAAAGCATCTCGCCTCAGCTAGAGATCCGCTGGACTCCCCTCGCCGTCGTGGAATTCTTAGTTTTGCTCATAATCCCCCAGTTTTTGCTTGCAAAAGAGCCAGGTACATGAATAACATCCATGTTGTTTTGCTGATAGAATTCCATTCCAAATCCTTTTTGAAGGTCAACTTGCTCTTTTTGATGGTAACATGAATAAAATATAAACATTTCCGGTGACAAAATCCAGAATCAGTTTCCTGCAAAAATCAGGTTTCCGCACGTCTCCTCGATCTTGGCATTCCTGAGGGCCAAGGGTTCAGTGTCTATCCCAGGAGCGCCTTATTCCAAATCAGCTACCATCTGGTGATCTAAGATAGCTATTGAACATGTCCTATTTATGATAGATGATTTATGAAATTTGATTTGCCTACTTATTAATTATTAATTAAACTTGTGATTTCCATAGCTACGTCTACGTTAGCTAATCAGAGGGCAAGGATCGCCTTATTCCAAAGCAGCAAACAAACATCCACCAACAGTTTAAAGGCAAAAGCTCATATTTGTTCCATCTATACAAACATAGCAATGCATTTATACCAGATACCATCTGGTCACACCTTTCAGCCGCATAAGTTGGATTGGTAGTGTCTGGAAGATGAGTGGTCTGGTAAAGCATGACATCAAGCTTCTGACTCGTTAACTCTGGGCCACAAACAAATGCTTCGGATGATGTTCTTTTGAAATGAAGCTTTATTAAGATCGATCAGGGTTCATCTTAGCCTTGGGAGTTTCCATCTCATCAAATTTGTTTCAGTGTTTTGTTCATGTTTTGCTTGTCTTCTGTCCATCAAAGCGGAAACAAACATGATCAAATCACCTACAATATATAATATTATTATTATCATCATTATTATATATTCAATCTAATCAACCAATCTTTACCTAGCTTTCTGAATCATCCCAGTACGGAACTATAGTCTACACATTCTATACTGTCTATACTTGCCTTGTTTTCAATGATTATTTGTTATATATATAACCATATATAACCAACATTAATGTATATGGTCAGTGCCGGAATTATAGAACGGAAGTTGAGGAGGAGGAAGGTACGGTTATTTACCGTACCCTGTTGTTCTATAATTCTGTTTTCCTCCGAAGGTATGAAAAAAATGTATCTGATCTTCCTCCTAATTTTTTTCGTCGTTCTATAATTCTTGTTGGAGCGCTCTTGTTCTATAATTCTGTTTTCCCCCATTTTTCTCACATTTCCCATTTTCGTTCTATAATTAATGTTTCCCGGGCCCCGTTCTATAATTAATTTTTCCGTCGAACGGAAAAATTAATTATAGAACGGAAAAATCAATTATAGAATTATAGAACCTCTTCCGGGGTCCCAGAAATCCTATAAAATCACCATGAAATCTAAGAAAATCACCGTGAAATCCCATGAAATTACCATGAAATCCCATAAAATTACCATGAAATCTTATAAAATCACAATGAAATCTAAGAAAATCACCTGGTAAATGTGGGAAAAATGGGGGAAAACAGAATTATAGAACGGGAGTTGAGGAGTACGAAGGTACGGTTATTTACCGTACCCTGTTGTTCTATAATTCTGTTTTCCTCGGAAGGTAGAAAAAAACGTATCTGAATTTACTCCTAGCTTTTCTCGTCGTTCTATAATTCTTGTCGGAGCGCTATTGTTCTATAATTCTGTGTTCCCCCAGTTTTCCCACATTTCCCATTATCCTCATGTTGCAGCATCCTCATTTTATCCTCGTTTCCTCATCAAATCCTCATTTTATCATCATTTTATCTTCATTTCCTTATCAAATCCTCATTAAATCTGCATTTTATCCTCATTTCCTCATCAAATCCCCATTAAATCCTCATTTTATCCGCGTTTTATTATCATTTCCTCATCAAATCCTCATTTTATCTTCATTTTATCTTCATTTTATCCTCATTTTCTCATCAAATCCTCATTAAATCCTGATTAAATCCTCATTTTATGTTCATTTTATCTTTATTTTATCATCATTTCCTCATCAAATCCTTATTTTATCTTCATTTTATCCTCATTTTATCCTCATTTTATCCTCGTTTCCTCATCAAATCCTCATTTTATCATCATTTTATCTTCATTTCCTTATCAAATCCTCATTAAATCCTCATTAAATCTTCATTTTATAGATTGTATATGCACAAATATGCAGTAAATATCATGTCAGTGCCAGAAATTATAGAATGGAGCCAGGAGGACAAAAGTACGGTAAAATACCGTACCTTTGTCCTCCTCCCCGTTCTATAATTAAATTTCCCGACTCCGCTCCGAATCGGAACCCGGAGGAGGACAAAGGTACGGTATTTTACCGTACTTTTGTCCTCCTGGCTCCGTTCTATAATTCTGGCACTGACTGTATATATATATATATATAAATATACACATATAACATTGTATATAACCATATATAACAATATATAACCATATATATATAACCATATATAACCATATATATAACCATATATAACATTATATAACCAATGTATAACCAATGTATAACCAATATTTTACCTAGCCTCAATTGTATTCCGTCGCCTCAGAGTTTCACGTTTCACTGAGCTTCAAGGGATGCTCCTCAGCTTGTGCCAGCAGGGTGTGCTGTCTCAACTCTGCCGTCACTTTGGACGGGAAGCCGATGCGAAGGGCCTGCAGTGACACGTTGAAGGGAACATGTCCGGTTGAAACCATGTGTGTCTACCGGAGAAACTATACGGATCCAGGAAGTACTGGTTTTGATCGTAACATGTCCAACCAATATCAACGAATAGCTTTGTTTCAATGAAATTAGACAAAAGCTTTGTACATCAGGGGCATTATGCAAAAGGTGAACTCAACTGGTTTCAAGGAAAACTTTGGATGAGGCACCAGCTTTGTCATAGATCTCTCTAAGGCCTAATTCCACTTATACGAATCTGGCTGGTGGAACTATATATATATATACGTATATATATATATATATGTGTGTGTGTTTCAAACAAAAAATTAGACCTGATCTTATCGGATCCAGTGCCTTCACCCCCAAGCGTATGAGACCGGACAGCAACTGGTCCACTGCCACATTGCCTCAGGTGATGTCAGTGCCAATCAGCCAGATACCCTGTAAAAAATACATTTTAAGCTGGTGAACGCAAATAATCCCATACCAAAAGACTAAAGGATTAAAGTGAAATCCCATGAAATCCCATTGATACCAAAAGACTAAAGGATGATATAAAGTAGCCATCTAAGATTGACCTAGATGTACCCATGGGCCCATGGGGATATCATGCAGAAATGCTATGGTTCGACACTGTAGTGATGTTGTCCAACTGATGCTGAAGTCATCTCGGCTAAGGCGCTATCAGCAGCAACAAGGATGCCACAAGATCTCAAACCTTCCTGCGGACTTCTGGAAGGACACTGAATTCCAGGATGGAACTAAAGTTCAATGGGAGTGAAATCCTCTGGAATTTCGACATGACCACATTGGGGGTTCCAAACATCCAATGGTGTAGTTGTCCACAGTTGACTCAAAATGGTCATGGAAGCTCGGTGATTACATCCTGAGCTGTACTGGGAGAGTACCCTCATAAGGTTGGTACTGTAAATCTACAGTAGCAGAAACAAGCAATGGCCAATATTGATGAAATCTTACTGTTCAAAGTTTGACTAGTTGAATCAAGAACATCTAGAACAAGCCCTTCTTGCATGCAGGCACTTCGAATTTTGGCACCGCCAAAAGAGGTTATGGCCAATGGCCAACCCACTGTATTTGTGGCTAGTCGGTCTCAAATTTTGAGACATACCGACCCGCATGTACTGCCGATATCTTCATTCATGTCCTGTGTCTGTCGGTTAAGGCGCCATTTTTCTTTACCAAACTTCCATGTTGATACATTTTGGTCGTGCAGAACCACGAACTGCTGAACGACATATCCCAATTGTGCGCACACAAGAAGGCGAATTATCTTGCAACAAAGGTATTTTCGAAACATATCTGACTTTGTCTGGAAATAATATGGTACCCAAATTCAACTGGTTTATCATCATAATTCACATCACATGACTACATTTCCGGTAGTAAATCGTCATCACCAAACACGTTTATCTAATATTGTGTGAATTGATTCATGATTAATGCATCACGTATATGGCAGACATATGTGTATAATTATATATACCATCCGGTTATTTAACATAGCCATGGAAAATCACCATTTTGAATAGGTAAACCATCTATAAATGGGCCATCTATAGCATGGCTATGCAAAATAACCAGAGGGTAATAATAGTGGCCAATAGTAAGATAATAATGGGATAATAATGGTTAATGATGGGATAACCATTGGTTAATAATTGTTGATAATTGGTTATACATATTATGTATGCCATGACCTCCCCCCTCAGGCTCCCAGCCGGCAACCGCTGGCCCCTCGCCTCCTTGCGCCTCTCAACCATGCGGCGGATCATCTGACAGGTGGTGGTGGTCTTGCCTCCGTGCCACCAACCGTAACCAACAGCTGTCACTTGCTTCAACAACAGTGGCAAAATGAAATTATATGCACATGATATGATATTTATATACTAGCACCGTACTTAAGTCACATCAGGCGGGAAAAGTCACATCATCCCCATGGCACGGCGGCGATACGGAGAAGTCACATCAGGTAGTGGAAAGTCACATCAGGGAAGAAGAATCACCATGGCACAGCCTGTTTCATCTATAATGATACATATGCCTAAAAGTGGCCGAAGCATTGCGCACAACAGGGAAAATGGCAGATACTTTGTTGAAAAGGTTCATATTTATAAAGAATCCTATTGGAATAGTTGGAAACCAGCTGATACCCATATCATCTCCTCAGATTGAAATCCTATTGGTACAGCGACCATATGGCATATAAAATTATACAATCTTCGAAGGAAAACACCATGGCACAGCATGCTTACATGTGCACGTTATATAAACTACAAAGTAGCCCAAGTATCGCGCTCAGCGGAAGAAACAAGAGTGTATGTCGCCAAAAGTATCAGGCTTTCAGAAACATTGCATTGGTCAGGCTTGACCTCAATACATTCCCTTCATTTCAGATCTATAACCCATAGGAGTTGCATTTTTTCTCGGCGCCCCTGGTCTACTCCGAAGGCTTTTTAGGAAGGAACTGTTGCTTCCTTGCTTTTCCCCAGCAAGTCAGCCAGTTCATCCGATTTTTCTTACTTGCTGTGATGTCTTCCAAATCTTTCAAAGATATCGGTGCAGAGGCACAAGCCGATTGGCGGTGGATACCCAAGCATTTCCTAGCCTTTCCAGCTCTGAAGATCTAGTACACATTCTCTTAACAATAAACATGGCCAAGCCTAGAGAATGTGGAACCCAATTCCCAACAACAAACCTATCAACAATATCTTTGCAGCATATGCCCCATTGGATGTATGATCAAATACAAGTTCCGAAAGCTGTTGCATACAAAAATTGAACTTTTTCCAGGCGCACGGCCCCAAAACGAAGAAATCGTTCAATTACTAAAAGTTGTGGTGATGCCAAACTTGAACTTTTTCCAGGCGCACGGCCTCCCGATACGACTTTTACAAGCTGATACGACTTAACGCTAGCGCTAGTATATATATACTACATATATATATATATTTTATAAATATCATTATATATATATATGCATACACAGAATATCAGCTGGACATTAGGACTTATGACGTATTATACTGTCATAATAATCTGTTTTTGAAGAGATGGGAGCCCTCATGAAATGAGCCCGGAATCCCCAGGTTGATACATTGCAGCTCCATGGTCTATGTGGTCTATGCATCTATGGTCCAAAAAAAACATAGCAAAACTGCAAGACCAAATCCCATTGTAACATTCCATTCACATCCATTAACATCCATTAACATCCACTAACATCCACTAACATCCACTAACATCCATTAACATCCACTAACATCCACTAACATCTATATCATAACATCTATTAGCGTCCATTAAGCCCTCATAATACTCCCATAGCCACGCCTGTGCCGGGTGGCCCTTGGATTAGCCCCAAGTTGAAGCTGGACACCGCGCAGATCGCCGCCTCCTGCGACGCGTTGAGCTCGTTGAACTCGTTGAGGGCCTGGGAACTATAGGGATCTAAAGGGTTTATGGATGTTATGGTGGATTATCAGCTAATATAACTATAGGATACTATAGGGAGGGTTATTGGGGATCATGGTGATGGTTAACTGTATATATTATATATATAGGATAACTGTTACTGTAACTATAGGGTTTACCCAGTACTGACTTGTAAGGCAAGGGTTTCCACCATGGCTTATTTTGGATAGTTTGACTAAACAAAATAGTAAGCTTGCTCGTCTTGCCGGGAATTACCAGAAAATCAGTCACTTTTTACCAGCATGAATTTGGACATACATGACGACTTCCCCAAAAGACTACGTAGTCATTCTGAGAAAACAGGTCAACATCTGATTGGTGGTTTCAGCCCCAGGAGTCAGGATGGAACATAATCTCTAAGATTTCAAACCACCAAGTAACATCAACTAACCGGATCTAACCAGAATCTAACCAGACATTTTTGGACATTTATTGTTGCCATATGTTGCCATATGTTGCCATAATTCATGTGGTTGGGAAGCTCTTGATAGCTCCAAGAGGCCCCATGGTTCCACTTACCGCCAAGATACTTCACTGGAGTCTGCCAGCTGATCTCCCTGCAGTTCTTGTAACAACGGACCTTCCTGCAGGACCCGCTTCCCCAATCCGTGGAATGCCGGAAAAAAAGGTGGGATGCAAACCTTTACCCGAATGTAGGTGCATTTTTTGCGTTCAGTTTATTGTAACACGCTCTTGCGCATGCATCTTTCCCGGCCTTGGAAGCAACTCTTGCTCGGATGAACTGAAACACTCGATGTTTTTGTATTTGTGATAACGCATGGCAACATGGTAGCAACAACATCCGACAACCAAAAAAGTCTCAGAAATCGAGGAAAACCACAGAAGAAGACCAAACTCTCAGTCATTGTCACTCAATTGGTCCCCCTATGGTCAGCTTTATATCTCCCTTCTCCCGCGATGCGCCTCGTTGAGCACTAGGCGCCGCATTTCTGAAGCTTTGTATTTGGCACCACTCACATAGCCCAAAGCAGACTTGGTCCTGGCGAGAAACCCAAGTTTTGTTGATTTCAGCGACATGACAACGGAAGGCCAATGGTAAGTGTACACATGAACCCAACATTTTGATACGTCCTGCTAACAAAGGCTATCATCAAAGACATGTTCAGGTTTACCAGAACAAATTGGGAATCACTGGGACCATTGTCAAGCCATTATGGAACCCCCAAATGACCAGCCATGTTACTGTACGAGAGAAAGTCGCCCAAGAACTTCCTCAAGCCAAGTCGCTTGCACCGAGGCGGGGAATGTTGGGCTTGCAACTTGCAATGCCTAAACAAAGGTACTGTATCTGTAATCTGTAGCATGTGCAAGATAACAACGTATGCTTCTATATAATCAAACAGATATATATATATATATTTATTTATTTATTTATTTATTATTTAAATATGTATTTAAATATGTATGCATGTATGCACGTACGAGTACATATTATGTGTGAACAGTGCATATCTAGTCAAACTACTTGATCTTTGTATTCCATTAATTCACCATTACATCCCTATATTCTATCCCTATATTCCCTATTCTACCACCATCCAGATCCTTTCCGCGAGGCTCCTCTCATAGGCCGTCTTATTGGCTCCGCAGTCCAGTCTCCAGCGTCCGCCCAGCTCCCATGGAGGACTGTCCGCCACGATGGCAATGCGACTCATCCCCAGCCTGACGCACCAAGGCTGGGGGGACTTACCTTTTAGGAAATACACTGGGAGGTTAGATATGATATATAACGTCATGGATATCTGGTTGGTGGTATACCTACCCCTCTGAAAAATCATGGAGTTCGTCAGTTGGGATGATGAAATTCCCAATATATATATATATATTTATATATCATTGAACATCAATAATATGTGGCTTAACATATATTTATTGCATCAATAAAAGCAAAACCTTGGACTTTCACCATTAAAACATGAATGTACCTGAATATACTATCTAAAACAAGCCAGTTGCTAAATGTTCATTGGATAACCGTCTAGATCCCAGCAAACGTACAAAAACAAATCCAAAAATGTATATTATCCTACTATATAAAATATCAAAAAATACATCAAATGTTGTATAGCTGTGTAAGCGTCGCCTTTTTCTCTTGTTCTTGGGGGCAGTAAATGAGCTCGTTCGCCAAAATGCTGGAAAATAAAATCAATGGAGAAATCCACCGAAATACATGGCGCCGAGTTGTGTCCGTTGTCCCCATGGTTTTCGTCACCATGGTTTTCAAGACCCCCGTTGAACAACATGAAAGAAGAAAGCCATTGGGGATTGCATTGAAAGCTAGGAATGGCTATCAAAAAAATGTCGCACCGCACAGTGATACATTACACAGATCCCAGCATTGGTTCGAGGGAACGCTTATGAAACATTGGTTGAAACATCTATCTTTGGCAAAGGGGTCCCCCTTGTGTCTTTTGTGTGGTTTACCTTCAAAGCAACCAGCATCACACTGTAGCCACACATGACCACCCTGGAGCTATGACAGATCCCCCCGGAGTGGTTGGCCCCTTGGTGGTCAACTCCCAAGGTTTAATGAAAAATCTCTGGCAATGTAGACTGGCAATGAGAAATCACCAGTTAAAAAATGATGTTCCATTGCCATGTTTGACAAAGGGAATCGCCACCACTTTTACCTGAGGATTTCCTGATCCGGACCCCCAGAAAAATCAAAAACACAATCTCGTATAGACTCCCCCACATTTCCGGGGTATGATAAATTTCAATTATTACTTATAACTTATAGTCTATAACTTATAGGGATTATGTTTTGTTCAAAATTATTGTCAATGCAAAGTAATAAATGTGACTACATGATATTTACTGAAAATGACGTACTTAACAATTATCTTATTTACTTAGTAAATATACAAAATATGATCTGTACATGTTACTACTGATTGTTTAGTAAATAACTAGATTTAGTAACAAATACCATCATGATTACAATAAAGTAGATAATATCATCATTACCATTTACTGTTCATCATGGTTTAATACTTCTACTATATAGTTTAGTAACACCTATCATTTCCCGCCGAGAAGCTCAATGATTTCACCTGGCCAGAGTTACCCTCTGGTGCTTGGGTTGCCACTGAAATTTGTAGGGTATATATGGAGATATGTATTAATGAACAATATATATATATAACATGTGGATAAAAAAAGGAATATGTATCGGAATATAACTAATAACTGGACATAGTGTAATAGAATGGATCATATCCTCTGTGATTTGAACATGGCAATGGAAAGCCATGGCCCATTTCCATAGGGTGACCTTTTGGAAGGCTAAATGAACATACCGGCAGCCAAGGAACTAAGGACAACTGAAAAACAAAACTGATAATGACAACTGGTTTAATGGAGATTGATGAATATGTTCATGGATCTTGATGGATGCATCCTAAGTCAAAGATGGACATCATCCCAGTTCAATATCCGTATTTCTGCTGATGCTCACATTGCAGGTTTCTGGGCTGCACGCCCCTTGCCTTAAGGTCGTGGTGAACTGCGCATGTCAATGAACAGTCATATCCCCAACATACAACACATTGTATTCAATCTTGAATATATTCTAAAGATAGATAGATTGATGGATAGATAGATAGATAGATAGATCGATAGATCGATAGACCGATAGATCGATAGATCGACAGATAGATAGATAGATAGATAGGTAGGTAGGTAGATAAATAGATGGATAGATGGATGGATGGATGGATAATTAGATTGATAGATTCATTGATAGATAGACAGACAAACAAATAGATAGAAATGATTGCACCCACGTCCCACATCCGACCTTTCCAGGCTTTCTTATCCAAGGGATTGCCCAGGGAAACGATGACTTCGTCCCCCGCGGAGAATTGATGCCTGGCACTGGGGATTTGTTGATCCGGAACATATAATAATAACATATATATATATATATGTATATGTGTTCATCCCATGATCCCTGCCATAGCCCCCCCCACATGCCAGCATACCTTGGAATAATTGGATATTATTCCAGCCCCATTGCACATGTTCTGGGAAAACATTCCACTATGTCACACGACATCGGGAATAATTAGGGTAAATTTAGGGCACCCCCCCCCCCTCTCCATTCATATAAAAATACAAGTTGTAATCAAATTTGGTATATTTTTGGCATGTGCTGATTGAGGTTGTATTGCCACAAACCACTAGAAACCTAGTGTCAGAAAATCTTTTCAAATAAACTCAAAAGTTTATTGGGATCTTGAAAGTTTTGCTCGTTCCTGGTTTCAAAGATGTGCTCCGGCAATGCTCAACCTATCTTAACCTGTGAAGAATTCCTGGAATTTAGTCGGATCAAGTGTTTTCCAAGTGTTTTCCTATGGCACCTTGATTGGGAGCATAGGGGCCGGTTGCATGGGGGTTGGCTCTCAGTTAGTGGGGGACATTCATTAAAGTTGAACGTCTTTTTCATTCTTACCCATCTTGATCATTCCTTATCTGTGTTATCCCTGCACCTCAGCATACATACAACTACAAAATGCAAATGATTTTTTAGCATGAATGCAAATGAGATTTTATGTTGGATGCTTCAACTATTCAACCTGTACAGCTACAAAATGCAAATGAAATTTTATGTTGGATGCTTCAACTATTCAACTTGTACAACTACAAAATGCTAAGGAGGGCTAATTATTTTAGGATTTTTTTTTTGATCAGGTTTAGGAATTATTTTTGGATTCCTGCTTCTCTGCTTTTCTGCTTCTCCTGCTTCTCGCCTTTTCTGCTTTTTTGCTTTTTTGCTTTTCTGCTTCTCCTGCTTCTCTGCTTCTCTGCTTTTCTGCTTTTTTGCTTTTCTGTTTTTCCTGTTTCTTTGCTTCCCTGCTTTTCCTGCTTCTCTGCTTTTCTGCTTTTCCTGCTTCTTTGCCTTTCTGCTGTTTTGCTTTTGTGCGTTTCCTGTTTCTTTGCTTCTCTGCTTTTTTGCTTCTCTGCTTTTTTTTGCTTTGCCTGCTTTAAAAACTTGATTTTCATGTAAGATGCATTTTGCACAGTATTTAAATCCCTGAGTATCACATGACCAACCTTCTCTTGAAAACTAGCAACGTAACATGTGAGAAGAGGTGCTTGCATTCTGCTTTGGGGGGAGGCGCTGCGCCCTCCCCCCAATCCCCCCCTCCCGTTTTTTTTTATTTAAACTTAAACCCAAGTTACATTAGTTGGTTTTTGCGAACTAACCTTCTCTGGAAAGCTGACAGGTTTACATGTGATAGATAGATAGATAGATAGATAGATAGATAGATAGATAGACAGATAGATAGATAGATAGATAGACAGATAGATAAATAGATAGATAGATAGATAGATAGATAGATAGATAGCTGATAGATAGCTTGGTAGATAGATAGCTAGATAGATAGATAGCCAGCTAGATAGATAGATAGCTAGAGAGATAGATAGCTAGATACCTGGATAGATAGATGGCTAGGTAGATAGCTAGATAGATAGATAGCTAGATAGATAGCTAGCTAGATGGATAAAGAGGTAGCTAGATAGATAGCTAGATAGATAGATAGATAGATAGCTAAATAGATAGGCAGATAGTTAGCCAGATAGATAGATAGCTAGATAGATAGCTCGTTAGCTAGATAGCTGGATAGACAGCTGGATAGCTAAATAGATAGATAGCTAGATAGATAGAAAGCTAGATAACTAGATAGCTAGATAGATAGTTAGCTAGATAGCTCGATAGCTAGATAGCTGGATAGACAGCTGGATGGCTAGATAGATAGATAGCTAGATAGATAGAAAGCTAGATAGCTAGATAGATAGTTAGCTAGATAGCTAGATAGGTAGATAGATAGCTAGCAAGATAGCTAGCTAGATAGGTAGATATAGTAGATAGATAGATAGATAGATAGATAGATAGATAGATAGATAGATAACTTGCTAGATAGATAGCTAGCTTGCTAGATAGATAGCTAGATAGCTAGCTAGCTGGATAGATAGCTAGCGCCCTCCCTCAATCCCCCCCACCCACTTTTTATCTAATCCCAAGCTTCTGCATCTGTAAATATTTGGGTGAACATGCTCACATGTAGAACATCCCATGCAAAATGGAAGGTGAACATGCCAAAATGTGGCAAATACCATACAAAATGGAAGTTGAACATGCCCACATGTAGGAAATCCCATGCAAAATGGAGGGTGAACATGCCAAAATGTGGCAAATACCATACAAAATGGAAGGTGAACATGCCCACATGTAGTTATTCCCATGCAAAATGGAAGGTGAACATGCCCAAATGTGGCAAATACCATGCAAAATGACAAATTCAAGTTCCAAACCGTTGCAAACACTAGGCAAATGGTACCAGCCAAGAAATCAAAAAAAAATCCCAAACCTGTTGAAAAAAAAAACCTAAAACTATTTCACACCCAAATGCTAATGAGATTTTATGTTGGATGCTTCAACTAATCAACTTGTACAACTACAAAATGAAAATGCATGATTTGAAAGGAATCAACTACAAAATGATTCCAAATACAAAATGGGGGGCACAACCCCTCCTGTTTGTACAAAAAAATGCTGGCTGGCAATCTGTACTGTAGCCCAAGTCCTCCCCATTTCGTAGCTGAAATTTGAAGGTGGATCCATATGGCGGCTTTTCTCGTGCTTGGACCGTCGTCGGCTTGATTTTTGTTGGCACGGGCCCGAATGTTCCTCGCTTCTTCTTCCCTTGCTTTAGCGGAAGACATATGGATAACTTATGGTAACTTAGCCAAAGACCAATGGACCCATTGAGTGAACATTGGTGACCCCATGAACGGTTTGAAGAATCCCTGGGTTTTCTCTGGATTTTCCTGTTGATGCCTAATTATTCCTGGGTGTTCTGACATATGTGGGTGACCTGTGGTTAAAATATGGGTACTTTAGCCAAAGACCAATGGGCCCACTGAATGAACATTGGTGACCCAATGCATGGTTTGAAGAATTCCTAGGTGTTTCCTGGTGATGCCCAATTTCCCTTGGGTGGTTTGACATATGTGGGTGCCCTGTGGAAGACATATGGGTAACTTATGGTAACTTAGCCAAAGACCAATGGACCCACTGAGTGAACATTGGTGACCCAATGAATGGTTTGAAGAATCCCTGGGTGTTTCCTGGTGGTGCCTAATTATTCCTGGGTGTTCTGACATATGTGGGTGACCTGTGGAAAACATATGGGGATGTCTCAAAATAGGGGTGCCCACATGAGTGCCCCAAATTTTTTTCAGATGAAAAACGAAAGTTTGGGGCACTCCATTTTGGAGACATTCCCATATGGGTAACTTATGGTAACTTAGCCAAAGGCCAATGGACCCACTGAATCCCACTGAGTGAACATTGGTGACCCAATGAATGGTTTGAAGAATCCCTGGGTTTTTTTCTGGATTTTCCTGGTGATGCCTAATTATTCCTGGGTGTTCTGACATATGTGGGTGACCTGTGGTTAAAATATGGGTACTTTAGCCAAAGACCAATGGGCCCACTGAATGAACATTGGTGACCCAATGCATGGTTTGAAGAATTCCTAGGTGTTTCCTGGTGATGCCCAATTTTCCCTGGGTGGTTTGACATATGTGGGTGACCTGTGGAAGACATATGGGTAACTTATGGTAACTTAGCCAAAGACCAATGAGCCCCTGAGTGAACATTGGTGACCCAATGCATGGTTTGAAGAATCCCTGGTTTTTTTTTCTGGATTTTCCTGTTGATGCCTAATTATTCCTGGGTGTTCTGACATATGTGGGTGACTGTGGTTAAAATATGGGTACTTTAGCCTAAGACCAATGGGCCCGCTGAATGAACATTGGTGACCCAATGCATGGTTTGAAGAATTCCTAGGTGTTTCCTGGTGATGCCCAATTTCCCTTCGGTGGTTCGACATATGTGGGTGACCTGTGGAAGACATATGGGTAACTTATGGTAACTTAGCCAAAGACCAATGGACCCACTGAGTGAACATTGGTGACCCAATGAATGGTTTGAAGAATCCCTGGGTGTTTCCTGGTGGTGCCCAATTATTCCTGGGTGTTTTGACATATGTGGGTGACCTGTGGAATAAATATGACAAATGAGTCAAGATAAATAATTTCCTTGGGGCCCCTGTGCTTTTCTATCTAGCATATCTTCTGACATCTTCTGACATTCTATCTGGCATATCTTCTGACATCTTCTGACATTCTTTCTGGCACTCTATCTGGCATATCTTCTGACATTCTATCTGGCATATCTTCTGACATTCTATCTGGCATATCTTCTGATATCTTCTGACATTCTTTCTGGCACTCTATCTGGCATATTTTCTGACATTCTATCTGGCATATTTTCTGACATTCTATCTGGCATATCTTCTGACATTCTATCTGGCATATCTTCTGATATCTTCTGACAGTTTTTCTGGCACTCTATCTGGCATATCTTCTGACAGTCTATCTGGCATATCTTCTGACATTCTATCTGGCATATCTTCTGATATCTTCTGACAGTTTTTCTGGCACTCTATCTGGCATATCTTCTGACATTCTATCTGGCATATCTTCTGACATTCTATCTGGCATATCTTCTGGTATCTTCTGACATTCTTTCTGGCACTCTATCACGGGCGATGAAACAGCACATAACAGATCATAACAGCACATGTATGCACATGTCATCACCGCTCATCTATTGTCACATATTGTCATCTATTTTTCAAATAATGGTTCAAAATTTATCATGACTTATCATCTGAGTTTATATGCCCATCAATAGCTAATTATTCTGAGGTATGTTGACACAAATTATTCCATACAAGTCTTGACATAGAATAGACCCCCTTAGCAGAATAATTAAAAATAGGCCCTAAAACGATTTATTCCAAATCAATTATTCCTGATGTGACATGCCCCCCTGGAATAATTACCCAAGGTAGGGGCCATTTCATCCCTAGAGATTTCCCAAACAATGGATTTCACAATGGGAAAAAAAGAACAACCCCATGACATCATCACATCATCTCCCCTTTCTATCTCCGTTTTGGAAATTATGGAGGAATTATTGCCCAGATGTCGGCCCTGCAAAACATGGTTAAATCATGTTAAATCAAAGGGCAGGCAGTAAATCAAATAATAGTATGTGACCAAAAAAGACTACATTATTTGGATCTGGTGTTATTCACTTGGGGTTTGCTAAGCCGTAAGTTGATGATTCGTTGCTTACTTGCGAAATTGTCTTGTGAACGATATCCAGCAACACAAATTCGAATAGATTCAGCAACATCAGCAAACTCAAATCTGCATAAGATAACTAGATAAATAAATACTGTAATTATAGTAAATACACACATTCCGGGAAAAAAAACAAGTGGCAGTTGGATCTTCCAAAATCCGCCGTTGTGATACTTGTGATTCATTAATCATAATTAACCAATCATTATCCCATCATTTAACCATCATTTGACCATAATTAATATTCATCATCATTTAACCATCATTAACCATTCATGTTAACCATCATTAGTCATCATTAACTATGGAAAATCAACATTGTTGATGGGCAAATCCACTATTTCTATGGCCATGTTCAATAGCAAACTGTTTGTTTACATCATCAACCACTGCTGGTTGGTGGTTTCAACCCCTCTGAAAAATATGAAAGCCAGTTGGGATGATTATTCCCAATATATGGAAAATCATAATCCAAATGTTCCAAACCACCAACCAGACGGTCTCTTAACCATGACACCAGATTTACTCCACCGTTGGCTCACCTCGGCAGGTTCTGTTTGGAGAAGACGATTTTGGCCTTGCCGAAGAAAGCTCCTGCACGGAGCGAGGCCTAGGGCGTTCTGTCCGTCCCATGTCCCGCTCCAAATTTGAATCAAAGAAACAACGAGTTGGCCATATTAAGATCATGCCATAGCGTTTTTGTGTTCGTAATTTTGATGCAATTCATTTAAATATTAATATGAGATGTCATGAAATTTCACGATATTGATGGATATGAATGATTTTTTGGCCAAAAACAGCTCGGGGATCTATGGCGACCTGCCGCGCCTTGTCTCCGCGCCTCCAAATCGGTGATGCAAAAGCCCTGCCCCACGAGGCGCGCCAAGGGCCTCGACACCAGCCACATCCAGCCATGGTGCAAATCATCCGAGCTCAAAAGGTGCTGCCCTAGGCTAAAAATTGCCTTTCGTTGGGTTTAATGTGGGTTTATATAACTCTTGAGTTTGTGGATATCGAACTAGTTATGGGGTCAAACATGGTCAAACTAGACCAACATGGGGGGGCACCACTCTTCAGCTAGGGATTCAGCAAAACATGTCCTTTCCAGCCCTATCGACGAAGCCCAGTGGCCAATTCTTCAAACGATCCTCCACAACTTGCAGCTCCTGCCAAGTTCAGTGTCGAACTTGGGGATCTCATCCCATGTAAGGCCACCCAGCAGCGAATTGGTCAGTCGAACATATCGGACAAAATCCTTGGAATGGTGAGTTGATAGGGAATCCCATCAAAATTCCATGATATGAAATGTGACATTCCCTAAATTGGATGGCATAACATGAACCAACCGTTTTTTTTGACACTGCATGACACTGCTCAATTGATCCCATCCAACATCATGGCCAACATGGCCATTTGTGCCAGATTTGTGGAGGCCAGTGTGGTAAACCTCTATAAAGCCATCAAAAATCGAAGTACTATAGTACTATGGAGCTATGATGAGCTATGCTAGGGATATAACTCAACAAACAGTAATAGCCTATTGTAATAACTACTATAGCAAGGGATGATCATTATTACAGCAGTAGGGATATTATGCAATGGATGATAATTGCTGTAATAACTACTATAGCAAGTGACTTGAGCAGAAATCGGTGCTTTAAACTATCCTGTACTTGGGGGCATTTGTCACTTGACTAGCACCAGCGCAACAAAAAAGAATCCGACCGCCTGTGGCCGCCTGTGGCCGCCTGTGGTGCAAATCCTTGAAAAGTGGAGAGTGTCCACAAATGAAAAGGTCTGTGGCTACTCGAATCATCTCGAATCCAACGGAACAAATCTTGGTAGATGACAAACTATGTCAGCGTTAAACATCAAGTTCCAATAAGAAATAAGCAAACGACGTGGAAAGCTGGCTGACCCTACAGCACACTCCCCTTTCGGTCCTCTTGCCACTCCATCTCGATCAAATCCTTCCACTTCCTGGGCCCAGGAATGCATGGGTCAAAATGTTGGATAACCTGGCATTCGGCTAAACACCACAATAGCAAAAGAATTTCATCCCCCAGGTATGGTATGTATAGTGTATACATATATATATATATGTGTGTGTATCTCTGGGTTTCGACCCATTCCCAAATGGAGTATAACCGGGGTAGAATGGGTATACACTCCATGTCTGGCAATATTTTGGGTAAATAATGATCAGCCATCAGACTTTGGAGCATCCTATTTTCAAACAAACTTAAGTCTACTGGTCAATCCGCAAAGTGAGAAGGTTTGGAAACCACAAGGTTCTGGAAATTTCTGCCACGTGATACTGGGATCCGTCCCCGGTAGGAAGATATTAAAATATATTAGAGTATATTAGAATCAGAATAAGTGAAACAATACAGGCAAGGGTGTTTGACCAAGCTCAATTGCATCCTGGTGAGTCTGTCTAGCGGCTAAAAAGTCTTGAATCAATCCATGAAATAGCTGGTTGGTGGTATACCCACCCCTCTGAAAAATGATGGAGTTCGTCAGTTATGGGATGATGAAATTCCCAACATATATATATAATTAATTATATTTATATATATATATATATGTGGAAAGTCATAATCCATGTTCCAAACCACCAAGCAAATAATCCAAATGAACCGTGCATCACATTCCCCATGGGCCCCATCGGCTTTCCCTTGGCTTTGACCGACCAGATCGACCAGCTTCTCTTTGTAAGTGGCCACCCAAGGTTCTGCAGAGCGGCTATGGTCCTCCCGCAACTAAATGGCGCGTTTCAAAAAATGCCAGAATCAATGGTTTGCCATATCATATAGCATATCATCCATATCGTTTATCATCAAACATGGAGGCTTGCCGTATTTTTTCTTGCCCTGAAATTCATTCTAGAAGCTATAACTTGGACATACTTGGACCATGTGATTCGTACGGTACTAGCCTGGTGGTTTCTCAGGTTTCTTGCACTACAGGGGCGGTTTTCTGCTGAAACACTTGTCAATTCCAAGCACCAGGGCGCTGTTGAAAGGGGAACAACACACACATCCCTTTAAAAAAGAAAACGCACGCAAACCCTGCAAGTCCTCGTGGTAGTCGTCCTTATGCCCCTGCACTGCATATTTCGCAGCGCAACGGGCACAGTAGAAGCTCTTCCCCTCCCATTCGCCCTCAGATTCCTCACTTGAAGTCAGCGGTCCAACAGGACATAGAGCTATATGGGAATCGCAAAAGAAACGCTACCTATTTTCAGGTAGTGGTAGTCACTGGGATGCTTTAATGGAACATCAACAAAAACAATTTGTTTTTCCAATCAATGTCCTCTGTCTAACAGTCGGTTGGGTTTCAATCAACCAAGATGGAGACGCAGCCAAAAATGGTGGTTTCTACTGTAACCTATTGATGTAACTATTGATTTAACCTGCACAAGTGGGGCTTTGCCGTTTTACCCCCACAAAGCTGGTGATTTACATGTTGGCGGGGGGCAATGCGTCCCAATCCCAATTAGATCAATTAGTGCCGTGGGTTTGGCCACCGATATGCCCAGTGTGTGAGGAAGTATGGGGAGGCACCTGCCCAAATAGGAGTCCAATGTCGGTATGCTTCCAAATTGAGCACCCAAAACCATATCATCGCATAGCCACATCTATTCTGGACTGACTTTAATCAAAACCAGAATCTAAATGTAAATAAATTCTGCTTTCATATTCATTTAAAAAATCACGCATTTATAAATTCCATATCTTTTAAATATTGTAACATTTGCGGCTCGCACCCTAGTTGTCAACAATACGGAGACCTCCTTCCCAAACTCAGACCCCAGATTGTGACTAGAAGCCCATTTTCTGCACTGTTTGCATTTATGCCTCGCAAAGCAAGAAGTTGCCCATCAGGGCCGTTAGACTACGTTTGGCTAAAGCCCTTACAAGACTTCACACTTAGAGACTTGATCCCCTGTGGCTCCTCACACTCGATCAACATTCAGGATGTATGCAATCCCATTCGCCTATCATATCAATAGGGGCGGGGCAAACGGTTAACCATCAAAAATAATGGTCTAGAAATGAATCCATTATATAGATTATACGGTGGTTTCTATGGACGTCTTTCTGTGTCAACAGTTTGCATCCCGCAGCTTCCCACAGGGTAACCTTTTTGCAAAAGCCATCTGCAAAAACACAAACAGCAAACTTGCATGCATTTAATATAACTCGCATTATGCACATATAACTTGAGTAAAAACATGTTTATTTTCATATGTACAATGTAAATATATGTATATGTATATGTATATGATGTATATGATGTATATGATGTATATGATGTATATGATGTATATGATGTATATGATGTATATGATGTATATGATGTATATGATGTATATGATGTATATGATGTATATAATGTATATGATGTATATGATGTATATGATGTATATGATGTAAATGTATACAATGTGCATGTATACGATGTGTATGTATATGTTGTAAATGTATACGATGTGTATGTTGTAAATGTATATGATGTATATGTATATGTAAATGCTGATATATGTATATCTACCTATCTATCTATTTATATAATCTAATCTAATCTATATAGTCTAATCTAAAATCTAATCTAGTCCAGTCCATCCATCTATCCACCTATCTATCTATTCTTTGCATATACGTGTACAATATATACGTATATATCTATATATGCAAAGAATAGGATATAAACACACGCACATATATATATACATACATTACATTACATTACATAACATAACAAAACATACATATATATATATATATGTACATATACACACACACATATATATATATGCGCATTATACATGTAATGTATCTAAATATACAAGTAGAGAAATGCTCGCATGTATAGCTCAGCATAGCTCCCCAGGCCGCAATTTGCATAGTCCAGGTGCTCGTTGTTCTTCCATTTTGGTTCGCTGTCGCGTTTCCGCTTCCAGTCATTGCCACCCCACTCATTTCCACAGCCCCAGCCGCCCCAGCCGGCCATGGCGAGCAACGGAAACTCCCAAGATGGGTTTGTGTCAAATGGATTCAAAAGGCAGGGTAACCCAACATGGCGCGTCTCTTGATGTTTCTGAATGGAAGGATTAAATTATCTATTCGATTCATGTAAATTCTCGAAGCACAAAGTGATTTGGGGATCCCGATTATCAGTCGACATGGGTGAATATAGGGGTATGTTCTGAAATAGACCCACTTCCTGAGGCTGCGCAACTGCCTGCACACAATGCGGTAAAAGCATCGAACGCTAAAATCGTCCTTGGAATCATTGTCCTCAGCAGGTATAGTATGGTATAGTATGATTAGATGACAAGAACATTTAGAATCTGGAAGTATCAACTAGTAACAACTCATCATAGTTTCCTCCAAAACTACTGCATTTTCAACATTATACGCTAGAGTCCCGCTGGGTGCTTCAACAAATGCACCGTGCCACGGCGCGGACATCACATGCTGGATGATGTCCGAGCGGCTTCCCAGACACCGAGCCCAAACGTGCCATGAAAATTGGCTGCAAAAACCACGAACCAAATGGAGGTTTGAATGGGAAAATTCATGAGCTACCCTCTGGTTATTTGTTACAGTTCGCCATGGGAAATAGCCCATAGAAATAGATGGTTTAACTATTAAAGTTTACAGTTTACCGTTCTTAAGAATGGTGGATCTTTCCATGGCTATGTTACTCATAACCAAATGGTATAAATAGAAGATAAATAGAGGGATTCTCCGGGGCCATGATGACTGGAGACGGCAAAAACACCTGGTTCATTGCTTCAAATGACAAAAGAACTTCATTATTTCCTCAGGAAAAAAAAGGGCTTAGTCAAAAAATATCAAAACATGACTCTCCCACATTTGCCCACAACCTCTCATAATCAAGGTCAATGAGAGCGGCTATGACCGGTACAAAGTTCCCATAGAGCTCGAAGCAGTTCCCGGTTGCGTTTTTTCCGCCAATGGCCCCTGCATTCACCAACAAGTGGAAAGAGGACATCCATGATTTTGACATATTTTGACAGGCTGAAGGTGGCTATTTACATCATTGAGTTGTATGGTTCGCTCAGGGTCTCTTGCTGCAAGCTCCCTGGTGGCCAGTCTTTTTATTGTCCTCACCTTGATACATCTTGATACAATAACCCAATCGAATTTAGCCTAGCTATCCACGTTGCTATGTAGCCACAGTTCTAAGGGTCTTCCACCACCTCTGGTTGTAGTTTCACCCCCATCATCATCCCAGGATGGGAAACAAACCAAACAGTTCAAACCACCAGAAATCCTCCCAGGTCCAAAGATGTTCACCTTCAATCTCTTCACGACTGGTGTTTTTCCTGGCTCTTGGATTATTTGGATTTGAAGACCCCAAGAGCCAACAAAAAATAAAAAACACATCTTCCAACTGGTTTGGTTATGTTCGGCTAATTCCCAACATATTCCCAAATATGTCATCAACATATTCCCAAATTAGAGGCATATTAGCCAACATATTTCATCAACAGATTCCCTAAAAAAAACCTCTAATTTGATGAGTTTGATGAATTCCCAACAGGCCCCGGGCGGTTTCCATCAGCGCGGTCTCGCCAAAGTCGTCTTGGTGATTGGGATCTGCGCCCGCCTCGGAACCGAAGCTGGAAATGGACGGTGATAAGATGTCTTGCTATGGCCATGTAGTTGTCGTTTGTTTTTTCCGCCCATGTTTTGTTCTCTCCTCAAAGCATGAAAAAAAACGACTAGTTTGAATTGTTTGGCTGATGATTTCTAGTGAGTCGTTGGGCCAATGGAGTAACACAATTGTATATGGTTTAGGGTTTCTCACATTCATGGAAACTTTATCATTTCCACGCGGTTTCCTATGGTTAAAGTGGGGATTTCCCGTTGCCAGGTTTGATTACCAAATGTTCATAGGCATTTACCAAGTAATAACATTCAACAAATTGCGCAATGGATTCTGGTCAGTCAATTTTAAAACTAGCCCTGATCCACTGGAAATTCTGGTTGATGTGGTTTCTTTCTCTTTCTCTCAGACTATGCAACACAACCCTACTATTCAGACTATTCAAGCGTAAATCTAAGATGCCAGGCTCTGCGCAGAGAATTAAGGCTTCACTCTAGTGGCCTTGATAAGGATCCAGGCTCTGTGGCCCAGACATTTCCAGATATTTCCAGCGTGGCACAACCATACCCACCAAAAAAGGTCTTCGTCAGGATTGGTAAACCTTATGTTGGTTGCTTCAACATCCCCATTAGTTTCAATCCGGATTTTGGTTTATGGGATTCAGTGTCCGTCATTCTCATGCTTATAGTCAGCCATTTCTATCCATTGACATCTATCTCTCTCCACGCTTTTCTTTCCATTTCTAAATAGTGGAAACCGAATCAATACAGAATCCCCTCTGCTGAACTAATATTTCTCACCTATATCATGGCCATTTGTACTTGATTAAGCCATTAATGGCCATGTGATCCATAGCAGTCACTGTATGTTTAGCCGAGGCTAGTTCCCAATGGTGACAATGGTGTTGCGCGATCCGCCTGCACAAGCACTTGAAGCACTTCCACTGGACATGCTGCCCGTACCTGCGCAAGGTCAGAAGATTTTGCCAATCAGCAGAAAAACAAGAAATAGATTGAAATAGTATATGCCATATGCTAATAAACCCCAAAGTTGGGATATTCTATTCATAACCAACTTAACTGTTGTGATATATCATGATATATATATATATATATATGTATCCACTTATAACTGCTAGTGCATGCCCAGTCATACAGTTTTTTCCGTTGGCCCAGAATGTCACATACTGTAAATATTTCAATCCATGGGACTGGGAACATCGGCATCATAAATACCATGAAGAGCAGGGCATTGCCATCCCAGTCATATGTTTGAAACCACGAACCAGATTTGGATTTGAACAAACAGATGCAAGACAAATGAACTACGGTGAAAAAAACATAACTATATGAAGCACAAGCGTGACACTCAAGTTTCAAATCCTTTTAGGCCAACATAATCTACCCAACAGACCCAACAAAACATTCTGAAAACAAATAACGATTGATAACGCAGTCCAAGCGCTGGCCATGGAGGCTTCATGGAATCATCACTTAGCTAACCTCATCTCCCCTGCTAAATTAGAGTGCTTGTTGGAACAACCAGTTCGATGGGCTGGATCCCCTGGATCCCTGGGTCTTGAGTCAACCTTAGATGGGTACTTCAACCTTAATCTCTTGCCAGGAATGGGGATACTGAACCAACATCAACAAACCCACTGGATGTGACAATTAGTTGGATGTGTCCAAAAAAGGACTATGAGTATGCCCCAATTTATCGTTTTTTCCCCACCTGCCAGGTGAGGGTTGTTAGATTTTATGTCAGTTGCCTCCTCGTCCTCCTCCTCCTCCTCCTTCTCCTCGTCCTCCTCCTCGCCTCCTCCTCCTCCTCGTCCTCCTCGTCGTCCTCGTCGTCCTCGTCCTCCTGCTCAACTGCGACTCGCGATCCACAGTGTTCGCTGTCGGACCTCAACCACGACCATCCACGCCCAGTGTTCCCTGCCGGACCTCAACCGCGGCCATCCACGCCCAGTGTTCCCTGCCGGACCTCAACCGCGACCATCCACGCCCAGTGTTCCCTGCCGGACCTCAACCACGACCATCCGCGCCCAGTGTTCCCTGCCGGACCTCAACCACGACCATCCGCGCCCAGTGTTCCCTGCCGGACCTCATGTGGGAAGATATGGGACAAAGAATGTGCAGAAGAAAGTTAGAAAGAATGTCAGAAAGAATGTCAGAAGATATGCCAGAAGATATGCCAGATAGAATGCCAGATAGAATGCCAGAAGAGATGTCAGAATATATGCCAGAAGATATGCCAGATAGAATGCCAGATAATATGCCAGAAGATATGCCAGATAGAATGCCAGAAGATATGTCAGAATATATGCCAGAAGATATGCCAGATAGAATGCCAGATAATATGCCAGATAGAATGCCAGATAGAATGCCAGAAGATTTGCCAGATAGAATGCCAGAAAATATGCCAGAAGATATGCCAGATAGATATGCCAGAAGATATGCCAGAAGATATGCCAGAAGATATGCCAGAATATATGCCAGAAGATATGTCAGATAGAATGCCAGAAGATATGTCAGAATATATGCCAGAAGATATGCCAGATAGAATGCCAGAAGATTTGCCAGATAGAATGCCAGAAGATATGCCAGATCATATGCCAGATCATATTACAGAAGATATGCCAGATAGAATGCCAAATAGAATGTCAGAAGATATGTCAGATAGAATGCCAGAAGATTTGCCAGTAAGAAAATGTATAAATGTCATGGTGGGGATCACACGAAGTAAAGTAATTTTTAAAAAATATTTTTAATAGGGAACATGATGAACCAGGGGTGACAATACCTCATTCCTTGACAAAGCCCAAACCAACAAAGAGGATTGGGATGAGGGTAAGACTGTCTGGATTCAAATGATTCAACCCCAAAGAAGGGATTTCAAGTGCAAAACAAATGCGGAATATTCTCCAGTAAATTAACATAAACCCTGCCAGATAGGGGTTGGAAGATTAGTTTCCATTAACAATTGGTGATTTTCAGGGTCCAACTGTGAATTTGCCAGAGGCTAATTATCCAGATATTGGATTTTCACCAACAAATGCGCGTAACACAGTGATTCACCAAAAAAGTTTACACGTCTGGGGCCACATGGGGCAGCTAGCCAGCTAGAGTAGTTTTAGAGCCAAGAGACACAGTTGTGTACCTGGTTTCTTTATATATATATATATGCTGAGTAACCACCAAGATGATAGAAACCTAATTTACCACTAATATCCATGAATGTCAACCGCAGATTTTGAAGCCCTATTATATACCCAGAATCATGATAAATAAATTGCTAAAAACTGTAAAATTGGCCCTCCCCCTATGAATTATGAGTGAACTCAGTGTTGCTGCCATTTCCGCCCCAGCGGCTGCTGCCAACAGCGGCGTCTCGCCCAGAACGTTGGGCTCCGCTTCGACCGCAGCACGCGCTGCCAACAGCAGCTCCGTCAGACGCACCGTGCCACGGCTGTGAGGACCTGCGGGGCTGGAGATGGAGCACCAGGTGCTACACACCAAGTTTTTCGAGATCCCGAATAAATTCAATAACTACTCAACCCAACTTAAGGTTTCTGGGGGTTTAATTTATGGGAAAATGAATAAATGACGGTAGTTCCAGCTTTACACGCCGATATCAATAATAGCACACTTTTTTCCGACCAAATTGCCGAGATTCACCGCAACACGGCGGGAGTTCATTCAAGGGAGTTCATTCAAACCCATCTGCAAACCATGTTGCAGTTGCAAACAGCTAAAGCGCGTACTTGGACCATCAAACTGTCAAAAATGATTCCAACACCATGATACTGATGATTAGATATAATTCGGGCAAAACTTGTATGGATTTGATTGGATTTGCCCCATCTCCTTGTTCCCCCCATCACCAGCAGGCATTGAACTCCCACAGCCACTGCGTTTCACAGCGAGAGCAGGTCCCGGTCCCCAGCAGGCTGTCACCTGCGACACGGTCATTTGGGGATGGGTCAAAATCCAGTGGCTATACACCGATAGTTCACACATGTTCACACCAAAACAGCCGCCTGGGAAAACCTTTTTTTTTGCAAAACCTGGTTTTTGTTCGAAAAAAAGGCCAAAAAACAGTTTTCCATTTTTCAACCCCCAAAAAAGTAGGTTCAAGACACCACAGGTATGTATACAGCGTATTGCATAACCTCTTAACTTGTTTTAAGTATATAGCAAAACAGTTATAACAGTTATGCTATATACTTAAAACAAGTTAAGAGGTTATGCAATACGTTAAGAGGTTATAACATCTCTTTTTTCTTGGTTATACTGTTATACCTCCATGGCCCCCCATGGCCCCCCATGGCCCCCCATGGCATGAAATCGTTGCTGTGGCTAAGCCCACCCTTGCTTCGCAGTCTTACTTATCAAATAAAACCCCAGGCGCTAAATCCTCCACCCGCGCGAGAATGTTGAGTTAGTGAGAATTAAGTTTTCCGAGTCAACCTTGCAGAATAATCCAGCAGTTCTCTTGTCGACAAGCAAATGGAAATGGAACCCATTCCGATCCGATGGGGCCAATTTCAACCCCCCCCAGCACTTTGAAAGCTCCTTCTGACAATCAATGGAAATTCCAGGATCCTAAATGGAGGTACTGTACCATGTAAGGCCATATTTTGGTGGTATATCCCCTTACTTACATAGGCATTATATATGATAGGTACCTCCAATAAATTGGTTCCTGGAATGGCCATTGATCCAAACTCCAGATATGTGATATCAGTGGTGTATATATATAGATATCAGTGATATCCATGATGACCTAAGTGCCCACCCTGAAAAACTGATGAACATGTACATATAGAACAGCATATAGACCCGATAATAGCATATAGATAGCATATAAAAGCTTCATATAGTTTCAGATTTACATACCCTAACATGAATGACCATCAGGTATGTTAAAGTTATTCGCTTTACCACACGAGTTTGTCTGAAAACTGGGCATGCCAGCTTACCCCAAATTCGCAATTTACAGGCCAACCCATAGTCATGTCGTTGGTATATCATATCCCATCGTGTTCTATGGGGAAAAAAACTATTCCCATCATATAGGTTTCCTTTCTATCCCCGTTGTTAGTTAAATCACCCATAAAGCGATCAGATTTACCATCTGGTTATTTAACATAGCCATGGAAAGATCCACCATTTTTAAGAACGGTCAACCATCTATTTCTATGGGCCATCTATACCATGTATGTTAGTCATAATCAGAGGGTAATCATCAATGATTGATTGTGCCTATCAATAGTAGTGGAATAGCCTATCAATAGTATAGATAATTAGGTTCCCTTTCTATCTCAATCACCAATAAAGCGATCAGATTTCAATTGTTTACTTCCTATAAACTGTCAATATTCCCCAGTTCGATGTTTCAGCTCTTCCGAGTTCCATGGATTCAGCATTGATGGTTGTCCTGTTGCCCTATTTGTTCGTGAAAAAATCACATTTTTTCCATTGCGCCCGCAACCAACTGCGATAGCCTCTAGAAACCCTCCAAGGAGATGCCGAAAAGCGTTTCTAAGCAGTGCCAATCTTAGATGCCCTGCAAAAAAACTTAGCTGGTTAGCAGCTAATCCCATTGATACCAAAAGACTAAAAAGGATTGTGGCCATCTAAGATTGAGCAAGATGATATCAATGATAATCTCCCTCATATTTCAATTCCAGCTTTCCAAGCTTTCTATGACTTGGGGATGTGATGATACACTCCATCTCCAAAGCCTCGGCGGAAGCCCAAGCACCACATTGAAGGGCCCCAGGTCCAAGTCATCCTCCTCCGGTCCTGAACCTGACCAGGGGATCGTGGGACCCAAATGGACCCAGGGATCATGTTTTCAATTGATTTTTCTGTAGAACTTTCTAGATCAGTTTGTGTAGAACATGTTTTTTCAGATCCAATAGATGTTTTCAATTTTCTAGATTTTTCTAGATGTTTTCAACTTTCTAGATTCTATGTTTTTTCTTTTAAATAATATATCTTTGGACGAGATCTTGGATCCATGAACATCCAGATTGTTGTTGGATTTGTCCATGGCCTAGTTGGAGATTGCCCCCCGGAGTCATCATGGACAGTTCACCAGTGCTATTGGATGCTCATGAAAAATGACCAAAACATACCAAAACTATATACATGTATATATACATGTATATATATAAATAATGATATATTAATGATATATACATATATATACATATGGGCCATATGTGGGCCATATATCGGTGTGTCTAAAAATAAGGCACCGCCCTAAATCTTCTGATTCATCGTCACAATCCCCATGAAATTGCAATTTTGATCCATAAACTGGGGGGTATTCACCCTTTCGAAACGGACTCACCTGCAGATTCCCTTTGGACCCTGCCAATCGATATGCCAATATGATGCTGCAGTGTTGATCCAACTCCCGATTTGTGTGTGCGCAAATCCTGATTGGGTTGATATTCACTAAGGTGCCCTTAGTACTTTCAGGAACTCCCTGCAGTGGTTCCCCTGGAAGAGAAGATCTATAGAGGAAACCATGCACTTACCATGCCAAATATGGAGGCTTTCCCCTTTCCAAGTCTGGAACATTCAAAGCTCATCTGCCGCAGCTCGACCCTGAAAATTGCTGATATGAGCAGCTGCTAAACCGGCATTCCACTGGTCCGTTGGTTAAGAAAGGGATTCCCAGCTCATAGATGATGATAATACTGCAATCCATGATCATCGTCCCAATACATTGGATAAGCCCCGAACAAATCATCAACCAACAACCTATATAGATTTATCCCAAATCCCCATATATTTCCCCAAATGTTTGATGGTTAGCCTATCAAATCTGTGATCGAATCCTGTTCCACCAACCGTGTACATCCATCACTGTCTCACCTGGTTTGGGCGGCAGCAAATCGCTGAAAGGCCCCAGATCCAAGTCATCCTCTTGCGGTGCTCCTGAGGCCCAAAACCGTGGGTGAAATGGGATTTAACCACTACAAAAGGTGATGTTAACAACACACATGAGAATTCAAACCAGAAAAAAATATGTTTATATAATGGTTTGGTTTAAGGGAACATCCCGTTAGCCGAAGGGTTTACCACAGATGTTCTCCACCAATTCTGGGCATCAAAGCTGAGATTGTGACTGTAACACCCTGATCATACTGGAACAATGGGATTATGCAAATATATAGATATATAAATAATAATAAAAAAAATAATAATAATTTAATAACAATAATAATTATTATTATTATTATTGTATATATATATATATTCAAACAATGTAAATAGATGTGCTCTTGGGGATGCATCCGGCTTAGAACATCGGGTCCATGTAAAACCCGCATCATGACATGAGTATAAACAAATTATATAACTGTATGGGGGACAACATTATTCAGCCCACCTCAGGGCCAATCTTAGAACCCGGCCCACATGTGTTAAACTGGTTGGCTTCATGTGTTCCCACATATTAGCAAGAAAACTCAAAGTTGTATCAACTGCTCAGTCCAAATATCGCACCGGTATATATATATATATATATTATATCCATTCATACTCCCATGATTTCCAATCCGGTAACATCATCTAATCACAATATCTTGTTGGGTTTAAGCCTCCATTTTAACTAATTTTACCCATAGTTCCCTTTAAAAAAAACCAAGGTCCCCAACCCCAGCGGCACCTGGCTTCGGCGGCAGCAAGTCGTTGAAGGGTCCCAGGTCGAAGTCCTCGGGCATCGGCTTCCGCGGCGCGGCCTTGGAGGTGGCGCGCGCCAGCGAGGCCGCGGGCCGCGGGGGTAAGACCTGCAACGCTGGAGACGTGTGGCGCCGAGATCGGTGCAGCCGATGGAAAGATCCACCCATTTTTAATAGGTAAACCATCTATCAATGGGCCATCTATACCATGGCTATGTTAGTCATAACCAGATGGTATTTCTTATTTTATTCAAGATATGATTGAAATGTTTTTGGGGATCTGTGTTTTTTTCTCATTTTTTAAATTAGATTTTTGTTTAACAATGACTTTGATATATTTTTGAAATGGAAAGAATGATTTTGCGGTGTTCCCGGCTTGTTAACGGTCGTTCATCATTTGTGGCTGTTGTGAGGTGTTAAATTTCAAAAGTTAGGGGTTTTAAGGGAAAGTTCAGTCAGAAAAAGGGTCGTAATTCTGAGGGCATGGTTTTAAGACTGGTTGATCCCTGGGAAGCTCACTCGCAATCGGAAAAGCAAGCTGGTTGCACGGTTGCACCAATGTTTTCTCACTGCCACAGCAGTACATCGCACATGACATGGCTGGGATATTTTCCCGCTGCCACAGCCACAGGATGGATAACAGGTTCAGCATATGGGTTCCTCTCACAAATCATAACTATAAGAAGATGGGAAATTGAAATCAAAGTAAAAATGATCATCCAACACAAGCGATTTCAACCTGTCTCGGTACGATGATGTGTTATATCTTGAACGTCTGGAAGCCTGGAAACCCATAGAAAAATTATCCAGCTCAGTGTGCTTCATTCAGCCTTAGGTCTTCTTCAGACCCAAGATCTCGCAAATGGGCCCCTGCCGCTGTGCTGGCTTAAAGGTCACCTTCTCCTCAGCCGCCTGTGGAAGTGGACATGGTCATGACCAATTTGAAGTTAACATTTTTGGGGTCACGTTTCCCATCGTGATCTCATTATTAGTCCCATAATATGTTCCAATTACTATAGTTTATAGATATGAATATGAAATACTTGGTGTTGGGTTTCCCTGTTGGATCCGGGTTTAGTTTTGTAAAGATGCGAGTGGCAGCAGGATCGGGGAAAAAAAACATTGTACCAGATACAGTGCACAGTGAACTAAGCTATGTCTTACCAGTGCATTTTAAATCATGGAAATAGTAGATTACCTTGTTAATCCTTGCTATCTATTAATCTACAGTTAGTAGTTAGTAGTTGCCTGGCCTTGCGCTTCTTCGAGTTCGGCGATCGGGAGATGGCGCCATCCTTCAGGTGCCAACAGGGATTGGCAGGGAGCTCGTCAGGCACAATCAAAAATCAAAAAACATCATATGTTGATATATCATGTGAATCATGTGTGATGGAAATGTAATGTCAGTATTCAGTATGGGTTATGGGTATAAGTATGAATCAGAGTCTGAATCAGCCTGAATCAGCATACCATATTCATTATACTGATATGTCACATGTCGGTCGGCCCCTAAACCTAAAGTCAGACTTGACCGGCACATCAACGATGGTTCCCGAACACCCCAAAACCCCAAAGTCCGGGTCCTCCGGCAGATCCTTAGGCTTCTTACCACGAGACTTCCCAGCATCAGCCTTGGCGGCGGACTTGTTCTTTGCTGTCTTGACTGTCTTTGCAGCTGCTGCTGCTGCTGCGGATTTTTTCTTGGCTGCTGCTGCACTTTTGGCTGATGCCTTTGCCTTACCTTTGGCCGCGGCCTTTGCGGCTTTCTTTGCTTCTGCCTTTGACTCCTTTGACTTTGCTGAGGCTGCTGCTGTGGTATTCTTGTACTTCTCCTTGTCCTTGGGTTTGGTCTCAGTAACCGCCTCAGGGTCGCTATTTTCGAACATCTCCGACTCCTCACTTTCCTCGGCATCCTCATCCATAGCCACAGCATCTGCAGTGTTGAGACTGGTATTGGAATCCTTGCACTTGTCACTGGTCACAAGTTCAGCCATGGTCTCAGTCTCACCGTTGTTCTTCTCAGCATTGGCTGGGGGATCCTTGGTCGCCAACTCGAGTGTCTTGTCAGGGACAACCTCAACAGTCTCACCGTCACCACCACCATCACTGTTTGTTTTTTCAGCATCCTTGGTCTTGGTGACAACCTCAGTCTCGCCGTCACAGGCACTGTTTTTCTTTTCGACATTGGGATCATTGGTCTTGGTCTTGGGCTCAACAGTCTCACTGTGTTTCTCGGAAATGGGACCGGGATCCTTGGTCTCGGCATTGGTCTCGTCATCTGCCTTGTCCTTTTCGGCATCAGGATTGGGATCATTCTCGGTCACTGAAGCTGCAGCCGACTGAGTCACCTCAGGCTCAACGTTGTGCGCACCGGTCATGGTCATGGCATCCCCAGGAATCTCGGTGTTCACTGAGTTTGAAGCTGCCTTGGGCCCGGATTTGGTAACAAAGTCCAAAAAGTCAATCAGATCTTCATGGAAGTCATTGCCCGGCGCACACCATTCCCACTCCTCTTGCTGCAGGTCTTGGTCCATGAGAAGATAATTGGTGTAGGTATGCATCTGTGAATGTTCGCCGACCTTTTTGCACACCTGTTCGAGATCCCAATTCGAATCCAAGTTCCCCTCTTCGACCTCCTGCAGAACCTTCTGCGCGAAAGCAATGATGTTGGCATCACCAGTGATGTCAGGGATTGGGTTGTTGTTCTGGGACACTGGTTGTGCTTGGTTCCCTTCGTCACCCTCCTTGTCCATGGCCGTGTTCCCTTTCTCCGCCATCTCCATCTTCACTTTCCTCCCCAACTGGGACATCGAGAGCAAATAGACGTGGCACGCTGGTCCCCTCAGATTGGCAAGTTTGGAAGCTCTGTGCAACAGAACATATTATCAATGGTGGTGTAGGTGTAGGTGTAGTGTGTTATACACCCTGGCCTTCTGACTACCGAGTATACCAAGAAGTGATGAAGATAAAAGTAAAACTGCCCCCTGTCACTGTCACCCTCTTCATTCTTATCATCATCATCATCATCATCACCATCATCATCATAGTAACGTCTCAGGGTTGAAAGTCTGATAGTGGAGTTGATGGTTGAAAGACTCATGACGATGGCGGAAATGAAAAAGACAAGTCACCCAAGACACCTCTTCATGAACAGACATTGGGCTTGTTGTGATGCGTGCATCATGCAAGACATCACACGAAGGGAGATGCTATTCGCGTTGCCACAGGCCTTCTCACAGACTATGCTCGCATAGGGTATGTAGAGAATGTCCCCAGCGATCACATATGTCACACGTAGTGAACCAAGCTTCTCAAAAATGTTGGGGTCGGTGTCGTCCAAATCACGAAAATCAGCAGATACATCCTGTGGCACAGACAGTGCACACCAGAACCACTCATGAACCATAACACTCCATTCAACGAGAATGACTCTAAAATAAACGGTAAAGAAGCTGTAATGGATTGTGAACCTTAACATGATGGTAATATAGTTACTGCAAGCTGCTGCTGAATGAATGCAAAAAAAAACAACATCACCACTACCCCAACACTCCTCCAGGAGCTTGATAAATTCACTGATGCCAGCTTCCTCATTTTCCATGAGTTCCGTGACATGGGGGTGTTTGAGCTTAGCCATCTCAAGGGCATCCACCGTAGCAACCAATCGGGTTCCTTCATATTGATAGCATAGGGCCCCCGTACCAAAAGGGAGTGTGCCAGTGTAGCAGCTACCCTGACGAGAGCCACACCACGTCACCCCTTTGATGCGGTTGACATCCTTGGTCAGCTCAGCTTCTGCCACAGGTGGCTGCAAAGATTGGCCGTAGGCCCACGACCTGGGGCCGGGGTTCGGTTTGGTGGGTGCTGGACAAGGCATATGGAGTCGATGACGATATAGATGCTCGTCTAGTCGTCTAGTCAAGTAATACAGTAATACAATACTCCTAGATTCTATAATTCTATACTATAGTAATCTATAGTAGTAGTCGCGTCACTGCAGTAGTATTAGTATAACAGTACAACTAACTTATATTAATTAGTAAGGTGGTAAAATCATCAGAAATCTACAAGAGCCCAAAGTGGATCCCAGTAGCACTGAACAATGACCAATTAGGTGAAGATTACATATGATTGAGTGGTTGACTTGATGGGAACTGAAGTTCGATCTGGGAGAAACCAGGAGAATGAGATTTGATCATAGCTCATAATTCTGAAATCATTCTGAAACCTGAAGCTTGATCATCGAATCAAAACCATCGATTAATGATTAATGTTCACATGCATTGTGACACCAAGATACTTGTCTGCAAAGCTGTTGCGACACAGCACAGCATCACTGAAGTCTTCTTTGCACTCAATTTTGATCAAGTTGTCAATCTCACACTGGAGTTGCTTGTCTAATCCAAGTGCTTCTCCGGGTCCTTCAGCAGGGGACCCGAGACGACCCGATGAAGTTTTGTTCACATCTTTCGTCCATATCTCGCTGCATTCATTCGCAAAGCGCTGCGCGTCAGCGTTCAGCATCTTTGACATGATGTTGATTTGGTTCGGATTGAGCTCAGGTGAAGCCTGTTGTCGGGTGAAGACGTGAAGACCAAACAAACCAAACTAATCAGAACTTTCAACAGACATTGGACATGCAGCAGCCTGCAGCATAATGATTTTGTCCACAAGTACGAGGGTCAGATTCGAATGAATGATGGGAATGGGAATGGGAATATTTATATTATCATCATGTCATGTCACATTGTCATTGTATGTATTTGTCTTGTGTCGTTTATCGTGAATGTTATGTCACAGTCCTTCGTGATAGGAGTGTCTTTCTTAAAGGCAAATTTGGTCTGAGACTAAATCTGATGGCATGATATAACAAAGCCAAGATGCGCTGAGAATCTTCTTGGTCATGCCCTTCTTCAATCGCAAGACTGCTGGGACTGTGGGAAACTGGGCAATCTGGTGCACAAAGCGCTCCAGCTCATCAGAGAATGAGGTAGAAGGCAACTGCTGCGACACCCGTAGAGTTCGCAGCACCGATGGATCGGATGGTTCCAAGTCTGTGGCAGCAGTACCTGTGCGTCGTCGACGCAGCTTGCTCACTTTGCCCTCCTCCGCCTCCTCATCACTCTTGTCACCGTCCTCTGTGGTCTTCTTGTCTGCAGCTGCTGCTGCTGCTGCCTTCTCTTATTTCTCACGTTTTTTCTTTTCATCTCTAGCAGCTGCCTTTGCTAGTCTGACTTTCTTTTTTTCCTCGTCCTTCTGAACCTTGTCCTCTGCTTTCTTCTTGGCCCGTTCTTCTTCAGCATAAGCTTTCGCCAGTGCTGCAGCTCCTGTCCTCCATGATTCAGATTCTTGTTCAACACATTTGATGATGCGTTGAAGCACAGACAACGCTGTGCGTTGCTGATCCATCAGCTCTATCACACGAGCAGAACTGGGCTGGATGTCCAATAGCTTCTCTCTGACCCATTTGATTTTTCCGATGCATTGTACTCCTTCAGCATCTGCCAACAAGTTCATCTGTAGCTCTTTGAGGTATGGATCCTCTAAACATCGTTTCAGAAGATCTTTGCTAGCAGAGTCACCATCCTTGCCCGTGGACAAGTCCATGGCACATCGCAACAGGTCAAGGCGCCGTCGAAGGAGTTCAAGACTCGCGTCACTGTCGACCGCCTCCTGGATGCAAGGGACTAGCTATGGGTGTTGCATGGTGTTGCTTGGGTGTCATTAGGCAGCTTGGGTATCCTCAAAGGATATCGATAAAGGTCGGTCGGTGAGTCTGAGTTGGGTATTGGGCTATTGGGTATCTAATCTAGTTAGTGCACTAAGTTGTTTTCCAAGACCATCACCTCATCACATGCACCCATCATCCCTGAACATTGGTCCTGGTCGCCAGAGTGAACCTTCAATGCCACATTCTGCAAGACATTCTCTCCAGCTTCAAGGGCCTTTTTCATGCCCAGTTCGGCATTCTTAAAGTCCTTCATGGTCTTTGAGCGCTGCCTCGAAGCTTCAACGGCAGGCTTGGTGGCAGCAGCTTGTCGACTTGAAGGATGCTGCGACTCAGGAACAATGTTCTTCGAGTTGCCTTTGGTGCCTTTGGGGCCTTGAGAAGAAGCTGGTCCACTAGCTCCTCTTCCGGGTGGTGCTGCCAGAGAAATGGAAGGAACAATTGACTCCTCTTCTTCAAGATCCTGAAACAACGACGCAGCTGTTTCCTTCTGCTGTTGCATTGTCCGCTCTGACGGGTTTTGTTGTTCATCGCATCTTTCGTGCAGGATCGAACGGTCCTGCAACAGTCAGAATACGTGATCGCCACTATACAGTTTGAATTTGGGTTTGAATAACTTAGCAGTCCTCAGTCCTCAGTCATATTAAGTCTTATTGAATAACGGGTTGAAACTGAGAACATGTCGATTGACTATTGACTGACTACTACTGCCGACTGCCGAATTGGAATTTTCACTGGTTGTTGATTGATTTGTCCTCGTAGCTGGCGGTTTTGGAGCCGTCGTCCATAGGTACCCAAATCCGCCAAACCTGACAGAGGCTGATAAGAAGAGTGACCACCGGTGACTGCACTTGTATGTGCTACTTCAGTTCTTCTCCTCAAAAGAGATCAGAAAATAACAAGTTTCTGAAAGTAACAAGAATTTCAAACCAAACCCAATTTTAGTTGGATCAAGAGGTTGGTGAGTGGTGGACCAAATCAAACCTTGCCTTCCCAACATCTTTGCCATCACGACTCCTAGCGGATACTTGATCTTTCCTCACATCCTTCGAAGCAAATTGTTTGTTCCACAGTTGCTCTGCAGCAGGCTCGTCCAGCCCTCGGGCCAATGCTCGTGGGGCATGGCAATTGGTCTACAAGTCTATCTACTACAACTGTTCTATTTTCATTGGTCCCCTACTAACCCTATTCCTCTATGCCATCGGTAATAGCGCAAAACACTCAAAACACGTTACACACGAAATGAAATGGGAAAAATGAATTATGAACAACCACTTCTAAGTCAAGTCTGTTACATCAAAAAGACTGATTTTGTCAAGTCACTTTCATATGACGGTGCATGATGCACATAGTAATCCACAAAGTCGGGCTTGGCGAGAGGTTTCATTCTCTGAAAGTTCTGTCCTCGTGCATGCTTGATTCAATGACTTAATCCTGGCGAAGTCCCAGGTCTTTCGCTTGCGACCACGACCCTGTCCGGGACACCTAAGTGCTGAGCATAAGGACTCGGAATTTCCGAATGGGATCAGGATAAAGCAGCTTGGGGTGATGGGTCTGTCTGTGGAAAAATAAACGGTCGTCATCATGATCTGGTTCTCTCTGAGAGTGCCAAACATATAAAACAGGTAAGTAAATAAAGTTGACACTGGTTAAGTTTGAATGTTCAGTGCTGAGTGAAGTGTTGAGTTTTACTTTACATGGTGATTCCAAGTCCGAGTCTGGGTTTTGCCTCATCTTGGAGAATTCAGAATCAAATTTTGAATTGTAGCTGTAGCTGTAGCTGATACAAAACCTGTTGCCCATTCCCCATTCGGATATCAACCGATGAGACACTCTTCCGAAAAATTCGCAAGATGTTCCAGAAATTCCTCTGGTCGATTCTTCTCCATGGTCTGCAATTCTTCCATGAGTTCCTGAGCATTTCTGGCCTTGCTGGCCTGCTGAAACATAGCGTCACGACTAACTTGGTGACACCCACAAAGGTTCAAGAGCCTGAGTATGACAAGTCAAATGGGCAGTGGGTAGTGGATGGAAGTGGACATGAAGCATCACCACTTGAGCATGTCAGTCTTCATTTGACTTGAGACTTGAGTTGAACATAGTCGCATACAATTGATGTACCGTACCACCACATGCAAACTTGCGATCATGCTCTAGTGGCAAGACAAGAAACTTTGTCAGCGATGTCCGGAACACCATAGTCTTGCACTTTGGTACCTGACATTTGACCTTCAGGATATCCGCAGCGGTGCGCTCAGGACCGCCCAGCGGGGGTGGTTCGTCAACCACCACATCATCGATTCTTCCTTCTGGTGTTTTTACCAGCATCATACTATCATCCATGGTCGACACGACGGTCAAGTTTTTGCCCCTAAAAAACCGACCAGATGTTCAACTTTGGATGGAGCGAATGGTAGGCTGTGTAGGCACAAGTGAGCTCAAGCAAAATGCTCCAGTAGTCACAACATCAAAATTTGGAAAGGTCAGACAGGCCGGACAATACATAACACTTACAATACAACACCACCTTGTGTTGCAATAATGTTCCTGAAGTTCATATCATACAAGCCTTTGTTCCTGGAGATACGGAGTCAAGGACCATGAAGTTAGTAAAAATATATTGGTTTGATATTGTAACATTATACATTGACAGAATGACTAGCTGTCAGAGTGTCTACTGACACTGAGCGGCCTCAGCCTCAGCCAATCAACATGTTTCCCGGCGTTGAATCATGTCTTTGGTTGAGTCTCGGAGCCTGTCGTTGGCTGTCTCTGTACATCCTAATCCCAAGAGTCAAGGGCCACATGCCACATGCCGAAAAATATTTTCTGAACATGTCAATCATTGAAGATGTACGTACTTTGACAAAGTACATTGTGAGAGCATAGGGTAGAATCCTGACTCACCCATTGGCCGCTCAGACTCACCCACATCGTCTTTGACGAAGTATCACACAGCAAGGGGTTTGGCTTTCACTCGCATCCCGGTCAGCATCACTGCATGCAGGCTTCCTATGACACTGCAATGCATCGCCTGGAAGCAATCATCATGGTGTGGAGGACTGGTTCCGGCCTCTCAGAACAACTACCTATGTGACATTTGTGATAGAGTTAAGTTAAGTAAAGTAAAGTAGAGTAATCCAGTTCAT